AAGGATGCATTAAATTGATCAAAGGTTGCAGTAAAAACGTTTACAATTCTATTAATAAATTAACTTTCTATTCATCAAAGAATTCCTGAAAAAAGTATCGCCGTTTCCATTAAAATATTAAAAGGCCTTTTTTTTTTTAGCATTGATAATATTTTTAAAAAGTTTCTTGAGCAGCAAATCAGCATATTAGAATGATTTCTGAAGGATTGTTTGACACTGAAAAAAATCAGGTTTGCCAGGAATACATTACATTTAAATTACAATCAAACAGAAACAGTTATTTTTACTGTAATGTAATAATTTACAATATTACTGTTTTACAGTTTTTCCCCCCCCCAAATAAATTCAGGTTTGGTGACCATAAAAGGTGTCTTTCATAAAACTTTATATATAGAATTAGATCAATGAAGTTTATATTATTTAGATGTATATAAGTATCTCAATGCACTCGCCATTGACAGGTGTGGCAAAAAGTGAATACTAGCTCAGGAAGAACAAACCAAAGCAGCAATACACTGAATAGTGTGTTAAAAATAGTGCACACAAATAGTGTGTTAAAAAAAGGCACAATGTACTATATAAAAATACCGCAATTTTCTTTATTGTTTCTTTTTTTTAACAGAAACTGTTAAAAGTTTCTTTAACTTTTACCTGTATTTTGAATTACACATTGCGTTGTGTTGGGTTTTAGGGCTAACGGAAATTTTTGTAAAATTACTGGATAATGTCCTGGCTCCTGGCCGAAATTTATTTTTCAATTTTCATTTCATTTTCAGTTTTAATTTTTTACAGTGTGTAACTGTTAGCCATTTGCAAGCCGTTCAAAACATACGCGAGAGAAACGCAACAGCAGCCTTGGCCCAGTATCTGCACTTCAAAAGCCTGACTGCTGTAGCCGCTTACTGAGCAGAGGCAAGCAAATAGTGTATTCAGCACATCACAGCGCATAAGAGACACGTCCACCGCAGCGCCGTGTGCACACTCGCACATTTTATGGACATTACACTGGGAGCTCTCTCATCTGTCATTCAAACACCTTTCCTGAAAGACAAGTGAAGTAGGGAATAGCAAGAAAAAGTGTGAGTGTACGTGCAGAGCCGGATTATCCATAAGGGCACTTGGGCCAGTGCCCAGGGGCACCAACCATTCACAACCACTAGGGGGGCACCACATGAGTCAAGCTTTAAAAATATTTTTCGTAAATTGTTATATTATTAACTTGAAATTCTTGACAGACCATAAATAAATCGTTTATGAACACTAATTTAACAATAATAATAACAATAATGATTTAATAATAAATTATAAATAAATAAAGATTACATGACCACTATCACTCCCCCCTCCCCAATCTGTCAGAGTTGCGTTGGTCCACAACAAATACGTGCAAATGTGTCATTTTTTTAACGGCTACAAAAAAATGAATTAAAATCAAAACTGGACAGACGTCAATTGAGTGGTTTTGCAAAAAGAAAGTTAAAGAAAGACAAGGACGCTAGACGTAGCTACAATTCACAATGTTCCAGGTATCGAAAGATTTTTTGTGAGAACATCACGGGAATTGCTATCACTAGCAGCGCTGAGTCTGACGAAGCCGGAGCTGAGACGGTAACAAAGAAATGGACTTTGGGGATGTAGTTGACACCTTTCCTTGCGCAAAATCAAGGAAGGAGCAGTTCTGCTAAACTTAATACATGAAAACGTTTTACCAGATTTAGTGCAACTCTTATTGACTCTTATTTGTTCCTCACTAAATAAGGTTTTTTTTTTTCACTAAATGTTCGATTTTATACAATTATTGTGCACTTGTGATTTTTCTAGACTAAATTTTACTGCTGAGTTACCCACTAATCTAGTTTATATAATATAATTTTTGTCATAGGTTATGATCATATTTTTTTTTATTTGTTGTTTTTCTTTATAATGAAGTTGTCTGTATTAAGTAGATTATGTTTAACAGAAAATAGTGATTATCAGTTCAACACACAGAGTTATAGAAATTCTACTTTATTTTTTTATTTTTTTACTGCGCTGGTATCGGATCGGTATAATTCAATACTAAGAATTTTTGGTATCGGATTGGATCGGTTCAGAAGAAATGGTATCGGGACATCCCTAATATTTTCTGGTAGGCTATATTTAAGTTACCCAGGAGCTCTGTTGACATAGGCTTAGCTAACGTTAGCTACAGCTTGATGAATTGAGTTGAAAACAGCAGGAGAGAACGCAACATTAGCCAGCTAGCTAAAGCTCTGGTGGGAAATTATTAGCTAACGCTACGGAGGCCATAATATTTTTGACTCATGGCTGAAGTTAAGTTTCTCCAACTCTCCCCAGGTTGGCAAAAAAAAATGCATCTCAAAATGCATCAGATTGATGCTATAAAATATGGAATATTTAAAACATTTCTTCCGGGGGGGCATGCCCCCGGACCCCCCTAGAGGGGTAATATCCTTCTCACCTTTTTCACCCCTGACCCCTTTTCATGCCTGTAGAGGTAAGAAACCTGATAGATTTATTATTATTTTTGGGCAAACGTGAATTGACGCTGTCAATTAATTTATGTACATTTTTAATTGACACATTTGAATATAGGGGGCCTTTTGAGGTATAGTGCCCAGGGGCACCACACTGTCTTAATACGGCCCTGTGTACGTGTGTGGACGTTTCAGAGCTTTTTAGCAGATCTGGTAGGCATTAGTCCAGCCTTCCTCTCCCTGCATGAATACTCTTTATACTCCAATAAATATGCGCTGTCTCTGCCACACTCACCCCCTCCACACACTCAATGTCTCTTTTTCTGCCTCTCTCTCAATTTCTGACTAATTTTTACATCCCTCTTTCTTTCTGCCCCTCTCCCTTTCCGTACCACCCAGCTTTCTTTTATCTTCCTCCCTCTCACATCCTCTCATCCAGTGTACTCCACTGATAATTTCACCATCCCCCCATCCTTCTCTCCCTTCCTCCATCAATGTTCAGTGCCCCTGACTCTGACCTGCTTCCCGCTGCCCTCTTCCCCTAACTCACTCTGCATCACGCCCTCCCTCTTTTCATCCAATCTCCATCCCTCCTTCTCCAACTGACCTGTGCCCTCTCCTCTACATCCTATCCATCCTGTCCTCTCTCTTTTCCTCCCTCTCTCTCTATTTTTCCTGATGGCACTCTACTCTGTCTGACCCCAATTCTGCCCTCACTGTTGTTTCCCCCTATAGCCACGTGTAGGCATTACAACTGTATGCGCACATCGTTTTTAACCCACTTAAAGGGGTGGTTCAGGATTTTGGAGATGGTCCTCACTGCAGAACATGAAATCCACGGGGAGGAGTCGGATCCAGATCCAACTCCTCTCACCTTACATATACCTAAACCTACCCATCTCCGCTCCCTAATCCCTAAACCCTCCCCTAATCCTACCCATCTCCACCCCTTGGATCTTGATCCGACTCCTCTCCGTGGATCTCATGTACTGCATTGAGGTGCTACTGGGATTTTGGACATCGGACCTCATTTCCAAGTTAGCCTAGGTGTTATTTATCAGTGGAGACAGTTTTCAAAAAATTTCATCCAGTCCTTCCAGTTGTATAGTTCGCCGGTGCTAGGCTAGCGCGAGTCAACGGTATCTGCTAGCCTGCCATTAAAAAGTTTTACCCACTCCACAGTACACCAAAAGCAAATAAATTATAACGCCAGACTATCGATGTAAATGTCTGTTGAGAGAATAATGTTAGAAATCAAAGTACTCTTGCATCTCAATGATCCCATTACATTTACAGGAACTAGTTTCTCAGCAGCTGCGGAATTATACTTTACTCCGGTTAGTAGTACTGCGCCGAAAAGTAAACACAGAACAGAAGCGCACTACAGTTGGGGCACTACCTCTATCTCTCACTACCTCTCTCGGTTGCCTAGGTAACTTAATATCACTCCGCCGCTGCTGTAGACTGTGCTAATAAATACACTACAGGGAACAAAGTATAACTATTGCAATGCGTTGAAAGGGTAGTTTGATTTCTAACATTATTCTCTCAACAGACATTTACATCGATAGTCTGGCGTTATAATTTATTTGCTTTTGGTGTACTGTGGAGTGGGTAAAAATGTTTTTGTTTTGATAAATAACACCCAGGCTAACTTGGAAATGTCCGATGTCCAAAATCCTGAACCACCCCTTTAAGTAGGACTTAAATACATATTTATATGTCATTTCATATTTAAATATGGTTAAAGTGTACTGCTGAATATATTAACAAGCATTTATGGTGGACTAAAATTTACATTATATTTTATATCAAGACTATTTTGGTTTTAAATATATTTTTAATTACGTATTTGTAATAATGAAGTTGCAATTTATGACCTGTACATGTAATATCTGAAAGGAACACTTTTTTATTTTATTTTATTAAAATTCACAAATAATGTATTGCATTTGTATATCTGGGTTATGTTTTTCAAGCACAGGGGTTGTATTTCTGTGGGTCTGAGTGCTGTTTTTGACACTCTGTGGTATGGATCTCTTCATAAACTTCATTTTCATAAACTGGAAGGCACTGAACACACCATCAAATGCCGCCTGGTAGAATGGACTTTGTAGTGGATGTACTGTAGATCCAGACCACCTGTCATTCGTAGAGGTTGTGAATGCTTCCAGTGTAGCGCATTAGCATGCTAACATTGTTAGCATGACAGGAAGAAGCCCTGGCAGTGGGCAACATAAAAATTTTTGTTTTAAAAGGATCATCTTCTAAAAAAAAGCAATAAATAGGCTTCACACTTACAGATGAAGTCAAAGGTGTCCTCTGCAGACAGTAGCCGTTAGCTGTGTTACAGTTAGAAGTTAGCTATCTTCCTGGAACGGAGTTAGCATAGAGAAAATTTGACCAGCAAGTTAACTGTTAATGTTGATTTCCTTTATTCAAACGTTAAAATACTTTTTTTTCACTCCCAGTATTACAATAAGTTAACCATTTATTTTTACTGTTTATTGTGTATATTTTCAGATGATTCATCTTCTGAAAGTGGGTGTGGCAATGGGGTTCACACACTGACTCCTCCATCAGTAGGTGCGGCCGGTGTGAGCGACAGTACGGGGACAGGACCTGGATCAGGCTCGTACGCCGAGGTTAACGGCAACGGTACCGCAGCTCCACTCGACTTCAGCACGACTTCCTCATCCTCATCCTCAGAGGACCAGCAACCAGTCAACCTCAGCGACAGACTGAGCCAGGCCCTGCCCAGTGCTGCCGCCATGCTGGCGACCTTTAACCCCGAGCAAGCAGAAGAGTTGCGCAGAAAATACCCCAAATCCTCAGAGCTACGCCTTGACCGAGACATCAGGGACTTTAACAACAAGGTATTACATTCATTTAGAACAAAAATTGGTAAATGTTAATAAGGGTTGTCACAGTACCAACATTTCAGTAGTCGATACCAATAGTAGTTCAATTTCACTGGTATCATTAGCATTTTATTTAGCATTGACTTGGAACCAATGTACATGACCTTTTGACATCCTAGTTGTTTATCTCGATCGCATATAAACTCTCATACACATTCGCGTACTTGCTACTAATATGGAAGTCAAATAATGACTAATGTCTTTAAAACAAAAAGCATGCTGAAAATTGTCCATCGAATATTATAGGTGGTATTTTTAAACAGACGGAATATTTTGGAAATTAAGTCCTGAAGGTGAATATGGATTATTGAATTTTTAATAATGAAATTGAGCATGAAATGTTTTCATTTGAAATATTCACAGCTTATATATACAACCATGTTGAATTTCAGCCCCCAAAAATGCAACCCCTGAAAATACAATGCATTAAAATGCAAGCACTAATGCAATGATTTTATTTTTTTCAATTAGTGCAATTCAACATGCTTTTTTCTTTCAAAGACATAACTCATTATTTTACTTCCACACTTTAGACTTTTCCTTCACCCTTGTTCACAACAGAATGTTATTTGTTTTGAGCGTACAATGGGAGTTGAAACAACAGTCATAAAAGGCGCTTGATTAAACCTCATTCATTCAGTTAGCTAGCTACTGGCACAGCAGCATTTTTCATACAGACAGAAGCAAAGAGGTTTAAACAATCTGCCGAGCAAGGCTCCAGTCTGAATAGAAATTTTCATTACATTCCTGTTTTCCATGGTCAGCCTCAGTTGCTTCATGTCTCCTTTTTATTTGTATTGTCTTTGTAAAAAGAAGAGTGCAAACTATCTTTCAAATGAACGGATTCATGATCCGAAATGCAGTACAATACGCTCGATACTGAGAACGTCTGAATAACATGGTTAGACCTTGAAGACATGTTTTCATCAGCCCAATCGTCGTACTGTAGGTGGCCATGAATGGCCTCATTGGTAGATATCGTCTTTTTTATGCATCTTTCAGTCCGTGTCCTCCTTTGAAAGCCTTTTCTGATCATGTATATGCTCTTGCAGACACAGGACTTATATTGGGTTCTTTGTGTGTTTATGTAGTCTCCTCAATACAGTTCAGGCAGCTATGATTCAATAAAAATGGAGATATGTGCTGAAGATCTGACTGTTGGTCGGTCTCAGGCGGCTGATGATGATGACGATGACCATGATGACCACGACGATAGCGATAAGATCAATGATGTAGAAGGAGTGGATCCAGAGAGGTTGAAGGCCTTTAATGTGAGTATCAGAACATTCAGCTGATGATTTTCTACTGCATAAAAAGAGCTGTACAATCTCGCAGTAAACCATGTGGTTTCTATTTGCAAGTTAAACTGTAGTTCCTCAATGCGTGTTTTGTGTGTGGTTTTCACTCATTCCTTACACTTCATTTAAGGAATTAATTTGGCACGCTGACCTATTTTTCTCTCTCCGTTTAGATGTTTGTGCGTCTCTTTGTGGATGAGAACCTGGACCGTATGGTGCCAATCTCTAAACAGCCTAAAGAGAAGATCCAGGCCATTATTGAATCCTGCAGCCGTCAGTTCCCAGAGTTCCAGGAGCGTGCTCGCAAACGCATCCGCACCTACCTCAAATCCTGCCGCCGCATGAAGAAAAACGGCATGGAGGTACACACAATGCCACGTTCAGCTGCCACTTCTGTTTTTTGGTATGGTTAGATGACTTGTATCGCTCCCTGGTGGCCAACACAGTACATTGCAGATACTGAGAAATACAGTTTTGTTTAGTGGTGATGCAAAAATACTAAATTAATATTCATTTGAATATAATTCAGTTGATTTTTTTATTTAATTAGTCCCTCTTAATATTAAAATGTCTGGAAGTGTTTTTTAAAGTTTAGATTACCATGTTAAAATTCAAAGAAATTTAAAAGAGGAATTTAATTTGTCCAACATAAGTTTAGCTACAAAGCAGAAATAATTACATAATTAATTTATACCAATTATGCATATGTATTGCTTGATATAAAGATGTTTTTCATATTAGACACGTTTTTTTTAAATTAAGTTAAAAACTGTCAAAACTATTAACAGATGTTTAATGTTTCTATACAGCAAGGCAACATGTCTTGACACAAAATTGTTTTCAGATATCTGTACAAAAATAAATAAATCTATTGTGTATACACTACTATTAAAAAGTCTGTCAAAGAATAAAAAAAAAATGTATCACAGTTTCCACAAAAATATTAAGCAAAACAAAACAATTTTAACATGGATAATAAGAAATGTTTATTGCGCACCAAATCAGCCATTTAAAATGATTTCTGAAGGATTATGTGACCCTGAAGACTGGAAATTTAGTTTTGCCTTCACAAGAATAAATTACATTTGAAAATATATTCAAATAGAAAACAGCTAGTTCAAATTGTAATAATATTTTTAGGGCTGTCAATCGATTAAAATTTTTAATCTAATTAATTACATACTCTGTAATTAATTAATCTAAATTAATCGAATACACAATCTTACAATGTTTACATGGTACAATTTCTGGTAAGCTGCGTTTTTATTATTTTTGCTTGACACAAATTTCACGATTTCAATTTAATTTAATTCTTGTGATTTGATGCAATATTGACTCATTTGGATAAATATTAGGTACACAAGACAGGCATTCATTTTTCTCAAGAAAAAAAAAATCTCACCCAATGCTGTAAAAATACAGAGAGCCATATCAGCTGGTAGTATTTAAGGTTAAAAATAGCTCAAATTAAATATAATGCGTGTTTATTACAAATAACAACTTTGATACAAGTAAAAATATAATACATATTATGTAATATAGTAGTAGGCTACATAAATTTAGAAAAACACTCTCTATAGCTCTTTTTTTTATAGCCAACTATAACGTGCTATCATATGGTCATGAAATGGCTTTCCTGAGGTAACTTAGGCTAAATGTTATGTGACATAATTGTTCTCCAGCTGTTTTATTGACCTCTTTTCGCGGTTGAAAAACACTGATTGATCGAGGAATATACATTTCGGTAAGTTTTAGGCTGCCCTACTGTATCTTTCAACATTGTTCATTCGTGTTTTTTTACTATTAGCTAGAGATGATCGGTTCACGTGCCGCTATGGGATCTGTCATGACTCATGTCACATTTACAAGCGCCAACGGTATTTATTGTTTGATTTTCGTAATAAAATTGACAGAATCTGAGAGCTGAGATTTTTTAAATATCATAATAACTTCTGTCTTGTCTGTTTCCGTGTCCTCTCTTTGGTGCGCGATTTTTCTGTGCGTGAGAAAATGGTTGTGCTGTGAGAGCGCGTGAAAAGTTACATCACACACACAAGCGCGCTTTCTCTCAGACACACTCACCGACTCACGCACACACTCCTGGATGCTTTGCATGATGTGGTACTTTAGAGTTGACGAACTCCGTTTGTTATAAGTAAATGTTCCAAACAATGATCCAAGCAGCGCGTTCTTGTCTCCCTCCTTTTTACACGAATGGTGGCTACGGCTAACGGCTCTGCAAAGGTAAAAACGGAATGGATTAATCTGCGTTATTTGTTTTAACGCGTTATTTCTTCTCAGATTAATTAATCGAAATTAACGCGTTATTTTGACAGCCCTAAATATTTTATAATATTACTGTTTTTGCTGTATTCATAAATACAGCCTTGGTTAGCATAAGAGACTTTTAAAAACATAAAAAAATCTTTCCAACCCCAAATGTTTGAACAGTAGTGTATAACATATTAAACATAAAAATAGACAATTCTGAGAAATAATATATTAAATATGCTCTGTGTGTGCTAGCAGACTCGACCCACGCCACCCCACCTGACCTCAGCCATGGCTGAAAACATTCTAGCAGCTGCCTGTGAGAGCGAATCACGCAAAGCTGCCAAAAGAATGCGCTTGGATGTCTACCAGGCACACGTAAGTAGTGTTGTAGAAGTGTATGTGATGCAGGTACTTGTGAACCTTGTAGATTTCTTAGTATTTGTCTCTCTTTATTTTAAAACCAAGTTTGCCTGATATATCTGTCTCTTTCTCTCTCAGGAGGACTCAGTATCTCTGGAAAAGGCGGTCTCTCGTGAGCCGGTCTCTCTGACCCAGTCTGCATACTCCCTTGCTGCCTCAGCCTACTCCCAGGACCAGCTATACATCAATGGAGGCCTCAACTACAGTTACAGGGGATACGGTGGACTGTGTGCCAGCATGCAACACCCTGTGTCCCTGACAACAGCTATCGCCCAGACCAATGGTGAGAGGAAGCTGGCAGCATCCTAAAATAAGTGATAACTGATTTAAAACGTCATTAATGCTTAAGACAATTGGCTTGTCTGTGAAGGATATATGCAATGCTGCTGTAAAATTTGACCTAATTTTATGATAAAGCAGAGCTATGATGCATAAATCAGTGGTTCTCAAGCAGGGTGCCAAGGCCCACTAGGGGGCCATAAGCAAGCTTCCAAGGGGCAGCAACATGACTGAAAATTTGTTAAATTATTAAGGATATCATAATTAATAATAACATTTTTTTTTTTTATATATAAAAACATTTACAACTTAAATAAAAGGATTTAAAAAAAACATACAATCAAGATGTACTGAAACTGATGTAACTGAAATCATATTTATTTTTCCCCTCAATAACAAGTTAGGGATAATCCACGGCTAGCTGTGCATTAAACGATTTTAATGCACGATGTGGAGGCAAAGAACTCCTCCGGGAAGTGCATTCAAATTGTTTAATGCACGGCTAGCCGTGGATTATCGCGCTTATACCATAGTCATTTGCCAGCACTGACACCTTGACAGCTATTATTGATGTTTGCAGCGCAATATTTGACCTGAAGGGTAAAAATAGCGGTTATTTTCTTCAGTTACGACTCGTTAGATCTAGCATTCTGCCTGCTTTGAATCATACACAGAGATAAAGTAGTGTGGTAAGATTACATTTATTTTAATGAATGAATTGTTGCATTCATTTGAATTCACCATCGAGAGAGAGAGAGAGAGAGAGAGAGAGAGAGAGAGAGAGAGAGAGAGAGAGAGAGAGAGAGAGAGAGAGAGAGAGAGAGAGAGAGAGAGAGAGAGAGAGAGAGAGAGAGAAGAGAGAGAGAGAAGAGAGAGAGAGAGAGAGAGAGAGAGAGAGAGAGAGAGAGAGAGATGCGTGTGTGAATTACCTGAATCTGTTCAGTGTCTCTCTCTATTAACAATAAAGCTGTGAGTTTAATTACTTCAAACCCAGTGATGTTACCCTCTCTTTGCTGAGAAATATAATGTAGCGATTCAAAGAAGAAGCAAGAGTTTTATTTATATAGCACCTTACCACAAGCCAAAGGTCGCTTAACAAAGGTTCAGTATTCAGTTAAAGATTCAGTAGCAAATGTTTCTGTGTGTGTGCACCACGATCTCCAAGTGTGTGCGCTTCAATGAAAACTGCGCATTATTATACAACTGTGATTAAACTGACATGGAATTACCTGTGCATTAAACGGTTTTACCTTCCAGCCAATAAGAATCAAGTATTCAGACAGACCAGGGTATAATTGTCTTTATTGAAGAACATACAGCTCTTGAAACTTCTGTAATCACAAAATGAATTATGGTTAATTAATTTAACTATATTGACACTACCAGTTTCTATTAACAATATATTAATAATTTATTATTGCAATTTCTATATGTTTAATGTATATATAATCAGTACAACCAAAAACTGCTGTAAAATGTGGAAACCAGCTGTAATTAAACTGTAATTTAAACTTAAATTTATTTAATGTCTAAATTATTATAAAATTATAAACTGACGCTGTGGTTATAAATTCCCATGAAAGAGTGTAGAAAGTTTGTGAAAGAGTCATTTTGAATTATTCGTTAAAAGGACTGACTTTTAAGAGTCAATTGTTCATGAATCGGGCTGCATGTTTTGCACTGCGGGTTTTTATTCAGTGAACCAGTTTAAAAGAGTATTTGTTTCACAGATTGGATTACACTGGTGATGCAGTATGTGATTGCATGCAGCACACAAGGGTGTGCCATTATTTTTCAGTACACAATAATTTTGGACTGACTTCATTTCCTATAGTACTGTAGATTAGAGGAGAGTAAAAGATCAATCCTGGGATTTTAAGAATTGATATTGAGGTCATTCAAATGCAGTTAGAGATTAATCATGAAATCAATATCTGTATCCTCCCCTAAGAGCTGCCATGTCTGTGTTCTTATTATGTTCATAATTATATTTTTACTCTCTCCATTTAGGGCCTACTGATCTCAGTATGAAGTCTCTGGCATCGAATTCGTCCTCGTCAAGCTCTAGTAGTCTCGGCAGGAATGGAGGAGGGGGCGGGGCTTCAGCTCAGCTCAGCCATACAGAGGTAGCGGCAGTGCGTCAGCTGATCGCGGGATACCGTGAGTCTGCGGCCTTCCTGCTACGATCGGCAGATGAGCTGGAGAACCTCATACTACAACAGAACTGAACCGATCTTCAACGCTCTCTCTGTCTACATACATCTCTCGTCCCTCTAGACCACATAACTGGCTGTGTCCCTCACATGATCATCATCATTGTCAGAGGTTTTCCGGTCACCAAGGAAAACCATCTGGCTCTAAAAATTTTAGAAGAGAGAGAAAACACAGCTTCATCAAGCTTTTGCTTTCATATAGCTTCAGTGAGAACGACTGACAGATGAAGAGGACAAACATGGAGATGGATCTCTGAAGGACACTGCAGTGCTGAAGTGGACGGTTCGATGTGTCCTCCGCATACTGCTCCTGCATTTCATGCCTTCTCCACGACCTCCCTCCGTTCATTCTGCCTTCATGCCCCTCTGAGAGCCATTGATTTCTGATTTTCTTTGTTTTTAGCTACTTCAAAGGGGGAAATACGGCACGCCAATCCTCCAGACAGCACTAACTAAATGAAGACACTTTTGATTTGGAGGTGTAATGGAAAAAAAGAAGAGAAAAAGAGCAAGAAGAAAACTAAGAGACCTTTGTATTTGCTGTAAATAAGCACTCGCTGTGTTCTGAAGCACTTTTCCATTCGTTCTGACCTCTGAATCATTAATTTATGCATTTAGATATGCAGGTGGAAGCTCACCTGGAAATACCTCAGCCTCTCTCTCTCTCTCTCTCTCTCTCTCTCTCTCTCTCTCCCAGCGTCCCCCTCTGTATGTGGGAGAAGAAAATTATCACCTGTCCATCCTCCACTTCACGGTCCACTTATTTGGGCATCGAAAGTGGAGAGTGGGAGTGAATTTGTTTCTGTAATTGAAGTGCAGATTTTCTTTTCCAAATCCTTCAAATGTGTTGTATATATTCCGATCCATTTCAAGGTATTGATCGCTTGTTTTGGGACTGGACCGATGCATTTAAACCCTTCGGTTTCACAGATGCCAACTCTCTTTGTGTCCTCCGTACGTGTCACCTCCTGTTCTCCTCTTCTTTATGTGTCCTTCCATTTCTCCTTACATCCTCTCCTCCTCCAGCTTATTATTCTACTTTGGAGGGAGATGGAGAGGAAGGATCCGGGATGGAAGCTGTTAGTCTTTTATCTGTTGACTTTTCTTAATGGCCATTAATCCACTCTGCTGCTATGGACTCCAACGTAACGCCACAGACCTGAAACCTCAAGCCTCCCAAACACAACCACAGCACCTCAAGGTGAAAAAACAAGGCAAAAAAACTGAAATGGAAGCCAAATCCAGAAGAAAGATAAAAAAAAACTGCCGTTTTGCATTCTGGTCGACAGTGTTTGATCTGATACTGAGGGCTGCTTGTGTTTGCTTTTGTTTGATTTGTTCTAAAAGCGCGGTGTGTGCTTAAATCTCGAGATCAATTGGGATCAAATCATTGGCACAAGAGCTTGGCGCGCACACACACACACACACACACAAACACGCATACGACACGAACAGACATGCTAAAGGGTCTTTAGAGAACTGAATATCCAGCAGGAGAGGTTTAAAAATGTGTAGTTAGCGAGGTTGATTTGGTTAGGGACTGACTGACAGTAGTGTCACTGTAATTTGCTCCATTTTGCACACAGAGGCAGTGCTAATCTATGATTGAGGAGCTCTGCGGCTCCGTGATGCACTGCTAGTGGGGGATGGAGAAAGAAAATCGCAATGCAGAAGATAATCAAACGCATTTCTGGCCCTAAAGGAGACAGACTAATACAGAGAGCTACCATGACCCCCGCTGAGGAGCCTTCAGAATCTTTACATACTTGATCACTTGACCAGGACCTACATATGATTGAAAGCCATGATGATGAGTGAGTGTGACCAGAGACTACACTGCTCTCTTAAGACATTTGTGTGCAATTTTTACACCCCCGTTCAAAACGCAACAGTACAAATATAGAAGTAATGATTTCTTCTTATTGTACTATATTTATGGTAGACCTTCACAGTCCAGCCTCCTACTGCGATATTGATTTGTTAATTAGAATATTGCTATAGATGTGAAGACATATGCAGAATTGTCAGCGTGAGGCCTCTCCTCACTGTGCGTGGCTCATGGTGTGATCTTTCTATTTAACCTTGCTCTCATCGTAAAGGGTCCTTGACCTCTTGACATCTCTGACTGCCTTCACTATTTCTTTTACTTCATTTCTGGAAAGAACGTGATAAGGACATATTTTAAATGGTAGAATACATTTTGCTTCACTCCCAGATAAAAATAAATAGAATAAGAAATTATATTTTGCATTAAGAAAATGTGACGTCTGCTTGTAAAACCAAGACTACATTGTGACATTATTTTAATGTCAATCAAGCACATTTTCCACCCAAATTCTCATTACCTTAATGCATGCTTTTTTTTTATTATGTGGTGTTAAATCACGTCATTTTATAATTTCAATTATAAACTTTTTTTTCATTTATTACAGTATAAAAAGTTACAGTAAAAATACTGTAATACTTTTTTTTATTAAATTGACAAATAAAAAGGGAGTACAAATATTACTAAGATGTTTAAATACTTTATAATTTCAATAAAGCAGAATAAGTTACATATGTAAAAAAAAAAATGCATTACACTAATGAGAATTGTGGAGAAATATGCTTAAAGGAATAGTTCACTTCAAAAAAAAAAAGAGGTTACTCAACCTCAAGTTGTTTCAAACCTGTAAGTATTTCTTTATTTGGCTGAAGGCATAGAAAGATATTTTGAAAAATGTCGGTAACCCGACATTTGATGGACTCCATTGACTTCCTATGGACGTCAATGGGGCCCATCAATTTGGTTACAGACATTCTTCAAAATGTCTTTCTTTGCCTTCAGCCAAATAAAAAAATACTTACAGGTTTGAAACAACTTGAGGTTGAGTAAATGACAGAATTTTTCATTTTGAAGTGAACTATTCCATAAGTCATACAAAAAAAAAAAAAAAAAAAAAGATTGTCCTAACAATAGTTTGTTTGTCACAAAACACAATTTCTTATTTTATTATTTTGATTTTTGAAGTGAAATAGACATGTTTCTCACAAATTTGACCTGCACATTCAAGGGGGTTGTTTTAGGGAATCCTCATGGTCAAATGTGCTGTTTCTATTCATCTCTCTCTCTCTCTCTCTCACACCTGCTTTTCTTTTCTCTGTCATTCTTGTCATGTCCGCTGTAGACACAGATGGTGAGAGGTCAGGTAATAGCTGCTGTCTCCATCATCTGGCTTTCTCTGGTTGAGGACTGATATGGGTCCCACTGCCGTCAAACACTGCTGATTATACACCAACCTCACATGCTCTTCTGTGGATTTATAAAAACATACCATGGAAATGGGGCTGCTAACCGCATCTGTGTGGAGAAGCCGAAAAAAGCGAAGCGTTCGTATGGTGTTTCTTCTCTCCAGTTCACTCAAGGACAGCAACTGAAAAACAAACTGTAAAACGAGGCAAACGACAATCTTGAAAAAAAGAAAGAAAAAAAAGGTGTAACTAGTTCACGGTTTTGTTCCCATGCTCTGTGTTCTGTGTGTGGTTGTACAGTGCAGTGTGTCCCGGGAGAGTGAGGGGTATTTTAGCCATAATCAGAGCATCTCTCACTCTCAGATCCAAGTTCTCATGCTAGCCGCTGAGGACTCGTAGTGGCCCACTGTCGAAAACCTTTTTATCTGATTCCTATTTTTTTTATAATTATCTCGATTACTTTTATTTTGTAATTCTTTTTGTATCGCAAGTGGTCTTTTCAGAACTGTTTTGTACCGACATCACATGTGAAGTTTGTCCTGTATGCCTATACATTCCAAACAAGGATGTCAACATGCCAAGCAGCCAGCCAAACCACGGTCACATCGGATTGCAGATACACACACCGAGGGCAAATTCAATCCTACGCCGCACAGGCTTTAAAATTGAAGTAATAGACATTAGCAACAGTATTAGTTATGTTGACAGCCTGGTGCCTGATTCCTCTTGCGCCACAAACCCCAAAGAACTATGATCTCAGTACTGTATGACCAAGTTTTCTGATTAGTTACTGCGCCGTGCCTTCAAAAGGGGCTTAACAGAACTGATTGTCATGTATGTCCCTTTATTAACTGTATTAGAAAACCCATTCAGCTCTCCGGATTTGCTGTCATATGGTACTACAGAACCTCTTCAAGGTGTTTTCTTTTTAATCAGCACCGCAATCTACTGTGATATTATGTAAGTAAACAGCTCACCTGTCATTTGTTAAAGGCATCACTCACAAACACATGGATGGTCCTATACGGGTTCAGGCTTTGCATTCAGGTGTGACGCTGGTTATGGTTGCTGCTAAACTACACACAAAAAAATGCTCTGGTTTGATCAGATATATAGCTCTGGAAAAAAAAAAGAAGAAAGAAATGAAAAGAACTTGACTTTTATTTTTCTACCACAATGGTGTACAGCTGCATTCAAATTCATGTGGTTCCCAGTTTTAGTCTGTTCTCTTTAATAATTTGTTGGTGTTTTGGATCTGCGTCCTGTCTCAGTTTCCTCCTGATTTCTCCTGTATAAGGTGCTGCTGATGTCAGCTCTGGTTTGCATGTACCTAATACCAATGTGAAACTGTCTATTTCCTTCTCATTTTGGACTCAGTGGAGGTGTGATGTTTACATGTACAGATATTTGAGATTTTCTCCCTTTTTTGTTGTTCTCATTTTTTTTTTGTTTAAATCAAATTCTTTCCCCCTCTTCTTTTCAGGCATTGTTTCATTTGATCATTTTTAGTGAAGGGAAATGGGACTTGCAGCAATTTCCATGCATTTACAGTAAGACAAAGTGTTTTTGTCTGGGAGACCCCCATCACTGACCCCAATCACTTTCTCGAACTGCTGTCAACCGATACACAAAATGAAGAAGGCTTGTTGTAAATGAATCTTTTCCTCTGGCCATTAGGGACAACACATCCGGCTGTTCCTTAATGATTAAAAGCCATTATCGCACCCTTCGTCGGGTGCAGACGTCAAATATTACAGTACAAGAACAGCAGAGTGAAAACCTCAGGTAAATGATTGCTGTTTTATAGTTGAAAAAAGTCTTATCGGCGACCCATTTCCCACTTTAATACCATAATATATATTAAATAAATCTTTTTTTTATATTTATTGTGTTAAATATATATAACAGTGAATACTTTTTTCAGTAAATGTGGCTAAATATTTTAATTCTTTAGAAAGTGTTGATGCATACATATGTGAAGAAACTGAAAGATTGAATGAAAATGAAAAAAAAATCAATTTCTGTTGTTTAATGCAAAACAGCATGGGCGGCTCCTAACATATCACTTTCATTAATGAAAACCAATGATTTGAGATAAAGCTTTCTCCAGTGGGATGTCACTGCTAAAATGTCACTGACATGACATTGTGACTTTTTTTTTCTCCCAAGCTGTACGTCACAAAGCTAAATATACTAATAAAACAGTGTGATATATATCAAATCCAGTAGCTGTATTTCTTTTCTTCCCCCAAAGGAAAAATTTTGAATCGGCATCAGTGCATTTGTCGGCGTTTGTGTGTGGGTCAGGTTTTGCTAACCAAGTAAAAACTGAAACTGCTTAAATTGGTCCTCATAATGAGAATGCCATCATTCATCATCATCCAAGACAATATTTGAATACTAAGCTATTTCCTCTGGTGCTTAGATGTCAGGTTGTTTGTGCATCTTGATTGTTAGTGGTTATTAGTATTTTTATTATTTTAATGTAGATTATTTTCATTTTAATCATTATTTTAATCATTTTAAGTCATGTTATTGCCCACTTGGAAGACCTTTAAAGGGTTAGTTCACCCAAAAATGAAAATTCTGTGATCATTTACTCACCCTCATGTCGTTCCAAACCCGTAAGACTTTAGTTCATCTTCAGAACACAAAGGAAGATATTTTTTATAAAATCTGAGAGATTTCTGTCCCTCCATTGACAGCTACGCAATTACCACTCTGACACTTTAAAAGGTTCATAAAGACAAAGATATCGTAAAACTAATCCATGAATTGAGCAGTTTAGTTCAAAATTTTCTGACGAGGCACGATCGCTTTATATGATGAACAGATTTAATTTAGGCTTTTATTCACATAAATATTCACCAGCTGTGGTAAACGGAAGCTCAAGCATGTTCGCTTAATGTAGAGAACCCTGATGAGGTTCTCGCAGCAGGCTTGAGCTTCAGTAAGAGGTGGGCTATGTTCTTGCACGTCAAGCAGGTTCGGTTGAGCTTGTTTATGTTCGCTGATCAATGTTTAAATGTGAATAAAAGCCTAAATCAAATCTGTTAATTATATAAAAGCGATAGGGTCACTTCAGAAAATGTGGACTAAACCGCTCGATTCATATGGATTCATTTTCCGATCTCTTTATGACATTTTTTAAACGTCAAAGTGGCAATTGCGCAGCTGTCTATAGGGACAGAAATCTCTCAGATTTCATCAAAAAGATCTTAATTTTTGTTGCGAAGATGAAAAAAAAAGTCTTACTGGTTTTGAACGAATAATGACAGAATTTGAGAATCACTAGCACTGACCTCATATGGGGCTTTTGAATTGTAGGCTATCACATATTCACAATATATAATAGCATATAGCCTAACACACAGTTTTAAGACTAATATAATGTCGTTAAATAACTTGGATCGATATTAGGCCTACTCCACGGACGCAATGTATCACACACTCGAACATGGGTTTTATTGAGTCGCGCGCACATTGCTTTCCTGACCAATGCACATTTTCAGAACAGATGTATTCTATAATCTCCTTCCTCTCGTTTTTTTTTGTGATGGTAACGTGTAAGTGAGTGAATTATAAAGGCTATCTGTAGACAGCCCGGGGAAAGCTACCTCCGTTTTTGGAACTGAAAGTTAGGCTATTCGTTAACTTTACGTCAGGCTATGTTGTACATCATGCTTTCATACCCAGATAATCTAGATGACTACTTTCTAAATGACAGAAACCTGGAAGTATGCGGAACATATTTCAGCGCAGAATAATAAAGAAAGAGAAGAATAAAGCGGGAAATTGCCCAAAATAAAACGTTTCCATTATTTACCACCGATGATACATCCATGAATGACGTCACCGTGTGTGGGCGGACCTATTTGCGCCACTGGATTAAATAATTAGGCTACATAATAATTTAAAACAACATGTTAATCGAAAGTCATGTAAATTGAAAGTCGCCCATCCTGTATAATAGACGTGGTCATATGTGTTTGCGTGTCTTAAAAAATAATATAATAGACCTGTTATTTTCCAACTAGCAAAACGTTTGATGCATGTGCATGCAAATGAGTGTCACAGGAGGGACGCGTTTTAATAAGCGCAAAAATAAGCTGAAAAATCGGAGATGTTAAGAGTAGGCCTACGTTTAACGATTAAAGGCGAATCTAAAAATAAATGGTTACTGCTTCCAGCTCCAAGTGTGCGCTTGCCTAGTGAACAGATGATCGCACTACAGGAGACAAGGATCTTGCAGCCAAGTTTACATACTGCGAAGCGTTTTGCTCCGGAGCGGAGAGAGGCACAAATGCTGCGGCGCACTGCAACGGTCATTATGAGAGAAGATCGAGGGACGCCATGGACAAATAGAGCCTAGATTTAGATGAAAAGAGGATGTTCTTCAAGGTACTTCAACCACAATATCGTCTCCTCGTTTTAAGGTCGCATTGAACTATCCAACATGTCTTTTCCGCATGCCTTTGTGATCCATCCCGAAACAAAACCGGTTTCACCTGATCCTCCGCTATGATCGCGGCCAGTGCGTTAGCTCAACAAAGGCGATCCCGGTATAGAATCGCTACGGACGGTCTGTCACCATCGGTAAGGGACCCGCACACCTCTTTTATTTTCAATTTCAACCGCTTCGCTTGGTGGACAGCTTCCAAATATTCTAGCTATCCTGGAGTCCGTAGAAGGAAAGGGCCGGGATGGAGAAGTGTTGTCGCAGCTGCATGCCATGCCTGAAGAGGTTATGGGACTGGATATGGCCCGAAATTTACTATCCGAACATCGCTCGTCCTGCCGAGATCCGCACCGTCTCAGGTGATATCCGGGTCCCGGCTCCTAAGAAGAAGCCCACGCAGCTGTACGCGGCTCTGTTCGACTTTGTAGCCCGCAGTGAGGAAGAGCTGACGGTGAAAGAAGGGGACAAACTCTCTGTCATAGAAAAGAGGGGAGATTATGTGTTTGCCAAGAAGCTGACGGGATCCCTGCAGTCCGGGCTGGTCCCTGCTAATTATGTGGCCCTCGTACAGGATGAATTCGCTAACTACAAGTAAGTCCTGAGATTGAGAATCAACAGACTATATTAGAGATGAGATGTTTTATTTCAATTACAATATTCATTATATTTTATGGAAAATGATCACTCTGTCATAGTCAGCCTCTAGTAGTCGTGCACATTTTTTCCTAAAGTTGAATGAAGAGCTTGACACTTTCTACTATAGCCTACACGTGTCACTGGTTGAACTTTCCAATTAGCCTTCTGTGGTTTTCATACTGGGCTAATATTTCTACCGCTACACATCATAAACAGTGCATTTTAGATTTTCATTAACATGATCTTGTTTCATTTATTCATTACACCATAATTAAGGCACAACAAAAGAATGGAGTGTCTTAGTAAATTTTACTTAATTAGTTTTTGACTCTTTTAAAAAAAAAAAACATATTTGCAATCAGCCAGAAGAGGCAAGTGGTGCTACGATAGATCCAGATAGAATAGAATAATCGTTAGAATAGAATAGAATTCATTCATTATCAAGGCTGTCGCTAAAGAGGAGAAAGGTGGTGACAGTTCTCTGGGTCCCTGGCTTTCGGAACACGAATTCAACCAAGGAGGGCCAACAGCAACAACCTGCACAAGGGCCCTGATACCCTGTCCATTATATCACCAAAACCTCTAGTGTTTTTTAAAGTCTTTAGCTAATTGACGTTTGGCTGACGGAACTCGACTAGTTGCTGTAAATTTTAAAGATGTGGCAGGCGTTGAATTCTTTTTGAGTTGACCCTGAAAACTATTGTATATTTCACTCTGTAACAATAAGGCCAAAATTAGCAGTGCTCCTTTGAGCTCAGCCAAGGAAGGTTCATATGCCTGCACTGTCTCGTTTCATTCACAATGGCCTTTATCATTGTCCGTGTGAACAATGAGCTGTCCTCTGTTGTCTTTTATTTGCGTTATCGTTAGCTACTATTTGGTTGCTGTTATAATGGGGTCAGTCAATTGTCCTCACTACAAAGGCCTCTTAAATAGTGTTGACAGGTAACAGGGTTATGATGTAAGAGTTGTGTGTGCTAGTGCACCTGTCAGAGTTTCACTGAAACTGAAGGCCCATGGGAGTGTGTTAAACAAGCATGTGCACCTGCCGCACCCATATTTAACATGGCAACACTTTGAATGACGCCACAGTGTTTACTGTGAGAAGCTGAACGTGGTTAATGTGGGCAAAATATGAGCCGTTTCTTTCTCTCAATTGGATAAATATGAGCTAATAAAGGGCAAAGTGTAACAGTGTAAAAAAATGTAAGTGAAATAAGGGAACCTGGTTCTAAGTATATTAGACATATGGGTTTTATATGTTTTTGGTGTAGGCAACAATTACAGTATATTGTCAGGGTAATTTCTGAGTGTTTCTACACAATTCATAACATATATTAAATAATCATTTATGGAATATATTTTTGTCCCATATTTTATTTTGAACATCTTAGTTACATTTATAAAAATAAATGGCAAATTTGTATTTTCATATAACAGTTTCAAGTTTGATGTCCATTATCTTAGATGTTTGGAGTGAGTGAGTAGCATTATGGTACATTACCCATATCGCACACATTGCATGCTGACATAATTACAGTAGCAAATACAGTAAGTATGTGTCAGCAAGTAATTACAATAAACTACATTCCTTAGTAATTTAATGCCTCGAAGGCAAAAAGAGTAAAGGTAGAGTATTAAACATACTAATGATTATATTACTAATATTATTATAATCTTATAGTTAAAAAAATTAGATAAAAATTGTACATGCAGTAGAGAGTAAATGTGCTGTTTTTGCTTTTATCTATCAACATCAAAATAAACGTTTTTCATATTACAGTACATAATAATATTGTAAATATTCATGGCTTTTATGCACATTTATTTTTGAATAAAAATACTTTGAATATGTAAATGCAAATTTTCAATATTTATTTATTTATTTATTGTAAAATATGTGCTGGACATAGTCTTGATAGGCTATGAAGTATAAGTATTTAGTCATTCATTGAGGTACTCAGCTATGCTATGCTTTACAGATGGTACTATGGGAATATAAACAGACAAAAGGCTGAGAAGCTTCTTTTGGCTTCTCAGAATAAAACGGGTTCCTTTCTGGTGAGGATCAGTGAGAGCCACAGCGATGAATATACTATCTCAGGTTCGTTCCTTTATTCCTTCTCTCTCTCTCACACGCACTCTTTCGATTGAATGCCTGGAGACCTACAGTACTGCCTGTCCGTTTTTCTCTCATACATCATCTCCATTCTCATCTTTCTTTTCTCATCTCCCCATTTTCTGTCTCATCTGCATGACAACAGCCTCCACTTCATCAATCTTATTATTTTCTGCATAAGATCTCTGCTTATCCTCCATCCTCTCTCTCTCTCTCTCTCTCTCTCTCTCTCTCTCTCTCTCTCTCTCTCTCTCTCTCTCTCTCTCTCTCTCTCTCTCTCTCTCTCTCTCTCTCTTTCTCGCTCTCTCTGTTTCTTTCTTCCCCACAGCTTGTAACACCATATTGGTCATCCATGTACAACAGACTAAGCATTTTTCTGTCTCCTCTGGAGAGTAGCGGGTGCGTTCTACCCTCATAATATTCTGTTTAAGGTCTCAAAAACCCCAAGGCCATTTTAATAGCGAAATATATGCATAACATTGATGTAGCAGTTTTATACTTAATCATTTTTGACTAATCTTGTTCAAATTGATTATACACAGTATTTCCAATTCGATAACATGCTTCCAAAGTCCTACACTAAAAATATTAGTTTACTTATATTTAGGTCTCAGATATAAAATATAAATATATGCAATTAATTATTTATATCGTTATACAAAAAAATTGTTTCCAGTCACATTTCTGAAAACTGCATACCGGAATCTACTTTGTCATAAAACAGTGTGATTCAGCTTCAGTAACATCTGCCAGCTGGGTAGCATAGAAATAATCGCGATTAACAGTTTAATTCTGTTTTTTTTAAATGCCACTACAGTGTAAGCCTAATACATTATTTTTTTACTTGGAATAATAATAAAAACTATAATAAAATAGGCCCATATGATTTACTTTAATGCTGTGATATAATATAATATAATATAATATAATATAATATAATATAATATAATATAATATAATGCAGTCTGATTAAACCGGCCGATTGCTGAGATTAATGAGATGAGAATCATTTTAAAATAATTTGATGGGAAGATAAGAGATTTTCTTATTACATTTCTAAATTATTATTTTGTACGTAGTACATTATTGGAGCTTCTGGGACCATATAAGCAGTCAATCTAAAAAAAATATATAGAGTGTGTCTACGAATAAAAAATGTTTATGTTGAAAAATCCTTATTTTATTCTTTGCTTCACAGCCAGAAGTGAAAATAGTGTCTTCCATTTCCGTATCCATCGCTCAGCTATTGGTGCTTACTTTGTGTCCGACAAGATCTCTTTTGGCACTCTGGATGAGCTCATCAGATTCTACCAGCACAACTCCAAAAGTCTGGGATGCCCCTTAGACCAGCCGTGCGTACAGCAAGTATGACACTCTTAATATTTAATATACACACATTCACACACAAGACTTCTTAATTTTAGACATCACTTTTTGCTCTCATGTAGCAAATGCTTATTAATAGGCGTTCCATTGGCATTCATGGGTATCAGTTCTGCATTATAGATCTAATTAGCCATATAGAGAAACGGTCTGTTTCTAGAGAAGTGGCTCTTGGTCTGCCTGGAGTGGTTACTTTGGATTTCTAATCTCTGCTTCATCTTAATAAGCAGCACAGATGACAGACAACATGATATAGGGGAGAGATTCTAGGAAGATATCTCTTGTAACCTTTGTTGCGTGTGTGTCCACATGCAGAGGGAGTTGTTTGACATGGAGCCATGGGAGCGGCCGAGGGAGGAGTTTCAGTTACTCAAGAAGCTGGGGGAAGGCCATTTTGGAGAAGTCTGGGAAGCTGTCTGGACTACAGAGAAGAAGAAAGTGGCCATCAAGATGCTTAAACAAGGTGTGATATCATATGAGATGGGATGATTTCACATGCGATAAACCAACTAATACCACAAAACATCACAGAATTGGTTAAATCAATCTCTAATACTGATGTTTTCGCCACCAAAATTGACATTCTGGATGATAATTAACTCCTTTGTAAGGGGATATTACAAAAATGAGGACAAACATTTTAGAAAACAGAAAACAAAGGATTTTTTCTTAAAACATTTTGATTAGTGGAGAAAATCAAGACATCCACAAGTACAAAGTATACTTCGGCTGTCTGCATTTCCACAACAGTCCGCGCACTGTCCACGTGACGTATTTTTTTTATCATCGGGAGGGTCCACGTACAACTCTGCATGTGCAAGGTGAATGTTGTGATAGAAGAGTCCACTAGGTGGCTATATGCACAGTTTTGATGTACTGTGCAATAGTCGAAGAAGAGTGTGATACTGGGCCATCTGGCCATTCAGAGCAGAGAAGACCAATCACAACAGACTGGTCCATCTGGCCAATCAGAGCAGAGAAGACCAATCACAGTAGAGTAGACCAATCACAACAGACTGGGCCATCTGACCAGTCAGAGCAGAGTAGACCAATCACAACAGACTGGGCCATCTGACCAATCAGAGCAGAGAAGACCAATCACAACAGACTGGTCCATCTGGCCATTCAGAGCAGAGTAGTCCAATCACAGCAGACTGGTCCATCTGGCCATTCAGAGCAGAGAAGACCAATCACAGCAGACTTGTCCATCTGGCCAATCAGAGCAGAGAAGACCAATCACAGCAGACTGGTCCATCTGGCCAATCAGAGCAGAGTAGACCAATCACAACAGACTGGCCCATCTGGCCAATCAGAGCAGAGAAGACCAATCACAGCAGACTGGTTCATCTGGCCAATCAGAGCAGAGAAGACCAATCACAGCAGACTGGGCCGTCTGACCAATCAGAGCAGAGGAGTCCAATAACAACAGACTGGGCCGTCTTGACCAATCAGAGCAGAGTAGACCAATCACAACAGACTGGGCCATCTGACCAATCAGAGCAGAGTAGACCAATCACAACAGACAGGGCCGTCTGACCAATCAGAGCAGAGGAGTCCAATAACAACAGACTGGGCCGTCTTGACCAATCAGAGCAGAATAGATTAATCACAAGAGACTGGGCCATCTGACTAATCAGCACATAGTAGACCAATCACAGCAGACTGGACCATCTGACCAATCAAACAGAGTAGACCAATCACAACAGACTGAGCCATCTGACCAATCAGAGCAGAGTAGGCTCTTAGAAATGAGGGGTTTAGAAAGATTGAATCCTTTATTGAACCGTTTCAGACACTGTGAGAAAAGAGGTGATGCTGCAACGTACATATATTATAAGAAAATGAAAGTGTTTTTTAACCTTGGATGCATGTAAACCTGTTGTAGGAGACCTCCAAAATAAGATCAGAAGCCTTTAAAAAAGCATAATAGGGACTTTAATTGGGATGTTGTGATAAAGGAAACCTAACAAATATGATTTCCATTCTTAAAGTTAAATATTGTATGTAATTATATTAAGACATGAAGATGTGAAAATAAATTTGAAAAGCATAACTGGAATGAGCCAAAATTGCAATTTTCTTATACAGTGAAATCTAAGCATAGGAGTTATGTAATGTTGCTGTGTAAGAACAATTTTAATGTTGTTTGGGATTTCAAACTTGCCCACAAATGTTTTTCCCTCAATTATTTAGATCTGTTTCAATTTCAAAACATTGTCCATCATTTGGATCTGGATCAAACCCTGAGAAAAGGATCATTGTCTGTACACAAATGGTTTTTAATACACATATAAATAGATAAATGTGTTTTTATGTGTTCTAACTTTTGTTCTCTTACTCTGCCCTGTAGAGGACACAAAGGTGGATGAGTTTGTGAAGGAGGTTCACGCACTGAAGAACCTGCACCATCCAAAGCTCATTCAGCTGTTGGCTCTCTGCACGCGAGGAGAGCCCGTCTACATCGTCACAGAGCTCATGGCTAAAGGAAGTCTCAAATCATACCTTTCTTGTAAGTGTCACTACACTCTATTTCCCTGTTCACTACATTTACTGCACCTGCATGTTTATCTATGAATAATGTATTATAAATCGCACAAGATTACTCTATATGGTCTTGGTATTTCGTGCTTTGCATTTTTTTTCTCTTATCAGACAATCACGTCTGTACTCATAAACATTTATGGCATTATCTGACCACATAGTTTTAGTTACAGTTCAAAAGTACATGAAGTCATTAAACACAAAAGTATGTCCTTGACTATGAACCTTCATTCTGTGTACCAAGTTCTTAAAGTAAAATGAAATAAAATGAATAATTTTTTTTATTTTCTGTGAATTAATGCATCCTTCCTTGAACTGAGATCATATTTTAAAGGTGCCCTAGAATGTTTGTTTTTATTATTTTATAATGTTTCCTGGGTTACCCTTATAATGTTAGTATGTTTTTTAGATAAAAAATATTCATAATTTAGAAATAAATGGCATTTTTCCTAGCCTGCTTTTAGCCTCTGATTTGAACACTCTGTTTGAAGGGGCGTGTCTGCTGTGGGATTCAGTGTAACCGCGGCCACTGCTGTGATTGGCTGACATGCTTGCATATGAAATAGCTACACATTACATGTGAAACTCTCTCCCGAATACTTTTACTACTGCTATTATACGTTTTTATTATAACAGCTATCGAGATTAACGAATCGTGAGATGTTTTTAAAGTATTTAGATCTATTCCCATCACATAAAATGTTGCCGTGATGAGCATTGAGCAGATGACAGTGTTGATCGCGAGAATGAAGATCTTATCATTGCAAAGCAGTTTCTGCACTCTCTCTGCTTTCACCAATGCAAACACGATGATGTAAATACAGTAAGAGCTTCGTTGTGCAGTAACGTGCGTCATTGATTTCATAACGAGTTTGGCAAGTGTCCAGATAAACTCGCGCTGTGTGGAAAGATTGTTCTTTGATCGCTTTCTGTATATAATTTGTTCACAATTTAAATACGATCATTTTCATCCTACTAAAAGAAACGATGTGAAGCTGATATTTTAGTCACTGGCTTGACTTACTGATGCATAAACAGTATTGAACGATTTTGAGAGAAAGATTACCTGTCTGAACTTGAACAATTACACATCAGAAAGTGTTGCTTGGTAGCTCGGTCCGAGGCCAGCTCTGTATTGGCCCAAGTTGAGGAAACACTCAGTGAAATGTTTGGAAATTTCCAGAGAAAATAAAATTAACCCATTGTTTCTTCAGAGGCTCAGATGAAGGAACTAAAAAATACTTTTGTGTTCATGTGTACATCCACACTGAGCAACTGCCATGCTTCGGCTGCGCAGTTCCGCCTGGCATTGAGGGCTGGCATTATGCAAATATTTGGAGGCGTACATATTAATGATCCCGACTATTGCGTCACAGTCGGTATTGTGTAGAGAACCGACCGTTTTTCAGGGGTGTTTTTCATAAACGTGAATTAAATGAGAACGCGAAAACAGTCCAGTTTGAGATTCACTCAATGTCATGTCCATGCACTGAACTCTTGTTATTTGACTATACCAAGGTAAATTCAATTTTGAATTATAGGTCACCCACCTTTAAGCATAACGATTTGACTGAAAGTTGAATTGAAAATTCAGATTGGCTTTCAATTTGTTACCTTCCCCTTTTGCTTTAACGACACAAAATGAAATCCAAAGCAGGGTATTATCATTAACTAAAACTAAAATAAAAACATGTAAAATTAAAAACATTTCTGTTAATTGAAATAAAGCTGAAATAAAATAAATTACAAATATTTATTGAAAAACTTAGAAGTGCTGCCTTTGCAAAAAAAAAAAGTAAATAAGTTTTAGTTTGATTTGTAACTGGAAATAAAGAAAAACTAAAACTGAAATAGAAATAAATTAAACATAAATAGCAATATTTAAAAAAACAAAACAAATAAAATGACTAAAGCTCATAACAAAATTACAAAAAATAAACTAAAATTAACATAACTAAACATTTAAAAATGAAAGCTAATTCAATTAATAAAACTAAAATAGCAGTGATGACCGTTTCTGTACAAAGAGTCACATGATCAATGTCAATTAGTAAAACATATTTGATTGGTGGCCTAGAAAAACTGAATCTTCAAACATTTATACATTTATTATTTATTTTAAATCAATAAACATTTTTCCAGTTTATTTCCAGATATAAAATATGGTCTCAGACATGTGGACCCTTTTGTTTCCTTGATGTTGCCCTGTCCATTTCTCCCTGTAGCTCCGGAGGGTCAGGTGTTGACCTCCGCTCACCTGATCTACATGGCTAGTCAGATAGCAGAAGGAATGGCGTACCTGGAAGATCGACACATTGTCCACAGAGACTTAGCAGCTCGAAACATCCTGGTTGGAGAAGACCTGGTGTGTAAAGTAGCTGACTTTGGTCTGGCCCGCATCATCAAGGTAATGGTTGGATGTCAAAGATGCTGCTGGAAATATGCTTATTAAATTGTTTCTGCTTAGTATGTAATTCTGCGTTTGTGTGTAGGATAGTGTGTATACAGCAAGTAGAAACACCAAGATTCCTGTGAGGTGGACGGCTCCAGAAGCTGCACTCTACCAGCGTTTCTCCGTCAAATCTGATGTCTGGTCCTTTGGAGTGCTGCTGTACGAGATGATGTCACGTGGAAAGATGCCGTATGATGGTATGGGTCTCTGTTTCTGATCTCAGAAACACTAAATGCCTTCCATTTTTTTATATACACTAGCGGTCAAAAGCTTGTGGTCTCTTATGCTCACCATGGCTCTTCATCAGGATTCTTTGATGAATAGAAAGTTTTGCAACATTACAAATCTCTTTACTGTCACTTTTGATCAATTTAATGTCTTTGAAAAAACGTACTGACCCCACACTTTTGAACGGTAGTGTATATATCTTCTCTAAATTTCCCACTCTCTTTTCACAGGGAAGAATAATAAGGAGGTGTTGGAGATCCTGTCGTCGGGTTACAGGTTACCGTGTCCAAATCGCTGCCCCCCAAACATCTACCGCATTATGATGGAATGCTGGCACGCGGAGGCTTCCAAACGGCCCTCGTTCCACGCCCTTCACAGTCAGCTGGACAATATCTACTCCAGACTCTACTTCAAAACCATTGAGGTGTAGAACACCAGGAGAACAGGTGGACTGAAACAGAAGATCCTGTGGGACGGAAAGATTTGCATGGACAAAAGTGCACATAAGACTTTTTGATTGCTTATGTTAATGAAGTTATGTGCAATAATAAATGCTTGTTAAAGGACTTTTAAAAAGATTCCATGAGAGTTGAGGAAAGGAGCGGAAACGTGCATCATCTTAATCTGACAGGGCCAGATTATCTGTAGCTTGTCAAAGCGACTCCTGATCATCAGTTGATCAAGATGTCGAGCACTGTTATGCACCCTTATAATATGCATCATTTGCCCTGCACTTAAGTTTATTTTGCGCTAGAGTTGATCTGGCCCATTCAGTTTCTGTAGCAGTAGGAACAGGCGATTATTTAATCTGATGTTTTCAGATCAGAGTTTATGTTTACAAAAGAGTCACCTGCCAGTGTACGGACGGACAGGTGTCGGGACGGTGAAAACTACAGCTGTTAAGTTATAACTGTTGAGTGTCTTTAGCCTATGTGAAAGGCAGGCTGCACAAATAACTGTTTTCTACCAGGTACACGATCGTGTTACTATACTGTGGTTAACACAGGAGCCATATGACAAAAACTACCTGGGTAGGTTTCCTCATGATCGGTTTCGTAGAAATCACATCCATGTCAAAAGTCTGTTGTCTTCCAATGGATTATTCTTAAAATAACTCTTGTAAATAAAGTATTTTTTCAGTATACATGTTTCTGCAGTTTCTTGGTCATTTGTTTGCTTAATATGTAACCCGACTTTGAGATTGACCAGAAATTTTCAAGCATGCTGCTGCTGGTAAGCCTGTAAAGCACTTAACCTCAAACAATAAAGATTGCCTGTTTAGCCTACTGTGCTTGTGTCATTGTCGTCCACAGGCGTGGTTCAAATGCGGAAGGTTTCATTCTAATGTCAGTTCCCTAAACTAATAGACTCGTATGGAAATCCTCTAGAGGTGTCTCTCGGGGACCGTTTTATCTCATGGGGGAATGTTTGAGTAAAACTTGCCCATGTCTTAAGACATGTTGGGACAGAATATGCGGATCCTCAGCGGGCGATGGAGAAAACAGCATGAAAACTGACAGTGACTGTATCGAAGGACCCGGTAATACAGATACTGATCGTTACACGCAGCCTCAGCCTCAGCCACATCCACCTCCACCTCAGCCTACGAGTCCGAAGAGTGCTGTTTATACTGCTCTATGGGACTTCGAGGCACGCGACGGACAGGAGTTGTCGTTCAAATCTGGTGATATGTTCGAGATTGTCAACAATTCCGGTGACTGGTGGAGTGCGAAGAAAATCGACTCATTCGACAGTGTGACCACCGGCTTGGTTCCGTTCAATTATATGGCGCGAGCGGAATCCGTTGAGTCTCAACCGTGAGTGTCAAAGCTACTTCTGAAAAGTAGTTTGTTAACACTATTACAGATAAACAGCGCGTTTTTATTTCAGTGTAACTTGTTAACGCTGTGGTTATTTCAGCAAACAGTTTCTGGTTTCATAATAAATTAGATTTATTTGTGAATTCGACTGATGTAGATTAGAAGATTAAACTTGCAGTATAAAACTTAGTGATTCAATTATACAGATAGCGATCAGAAAACAACTGAAGTTGTCTCAGATTCTTAGAATAAAATGTGCTCAGTCTAGACTGAGTTCGAAACAAGCTCTATCTTATTTATGTAGCATTAGACACGTTCCTCTCTTTTACAGTTTTGTAATTGATGACATTCGCCCATCAATCCATGCGCTAGCCTTACTATTGGAGATTTCCCCTTCCCGACCATTTCCGAATGCATGCTGAAGCTGTCAAGGTTAAAAAAGAAATGTAATAGTACCATAAAAAATGTCATTAGGCCTACGTCGCTTAGTACTTAAGCTTTGAGTGAAGAAATGACAGAAATGTAAGTTGTTATTCACTGAAATTGTTTTCCACCAGTGAGCAGCTGTGACGGATTAAGGCCTGTTCACACCAATAACGTTAAATATAAAGATAACTCTATCGATATAATTATATTAACATGACAGTGTCACACCTTTATTTTAAGCATGCAGTTATGTCATCTGCCTCTTTAAATACTCAAGCTCTGTAAAGCGGATGGATTCTGAATGGCTGTCGATGTTTATATCATTCATCAACTGGAAATATTGCTCTGAAAGTGATTTCAACAATATCATTATCTGTGTCATATATCGTTGTAGCTGTGATGTGGACTTCCCTATTTTCGTAACTACAACGATTATTAAGACTTCTAGCCCTTGGTGTGAATGGCCCTTTACTAAGTGAACTGAAACAGTTGAATACGGTGGCCGAGACAGCTCAACGCGCTGCAACTGAAGCAAACACATGCAAATAGAGAAAAACGCGTGCAAATAGAAAAAAAAAACACATGCAAATAGAAAAACACGCGTGCAAATAGCAAAAAAAACCAACAAATTAATAAAAAAAAAACATCTTCATCAGTTTCACAACACACGTGTGCTCCAAATAAGGAAACAAAGGTTCAACAACACAACCAAATACAGAAAACAGCTGCAAATAACACAGACCACAACGGAAATGTTTCCAGGGGAACCAAATAAGTGACGAACCCGGCCGGCGAATTTTTTTTTTGCAGGGTGGTAGGGGAAGAATCATTAATATTCATTGGGGAACTCATCCGCAATTGGTTCGCTGTCACACGTCACTCAGATTGACATGGCAGGTCAAGACGGTGTCCCCGCAAAGATACAGAAGTTCGCGAAGTTCGTGAGCGGTCTCCGCACAAATCTCCCGGATTTGGATAACCAAATGTTGACAGGTATGACTTACCTTCGTGAAAGTGTCTGTTGTCACGAAGGAGACGATGTCTGCTTTCTCTATCACATCTCATTAGAGATGCGTCACGGCGAGCCAATCAGGGACGAGTTCCCCAATGAATATTAACGAGTCTTCCCCTACCACCCTGCAAAAAAAAAAATCGCACCCGGCCGAGACGTGCTTATTGCTCGTGAGCTTCCCTATGCCATACTCCCTTCGAAGGGTAGATTGCAGAGCCCTTTTGGAGTGAGCAAGGCTCTAGTGTGCTGTTAGGCAGCCGTGTGGAACGCACTTGATGAAGGGAGCAACTAAAGACAACGTGGGATGTTCCCATGACAACGCAGCACGGTGTCCATCAGCTGGTCTTACGACAGAAATATGATGCTGTTTACATAACGGATGCAAATACATTTTTATTTTTAGTTTACAAAAAAAGCTTTTAAAATATGCGTTATATATCTGTGTCTCAACTTTAAAATTTTGGACCCTACATTACCTAACATTTCTTACGAAACCTTTCTTTATGAAAATGTAATAACATGAAACAATTTGTACAGTGTAACTGATGTAACTTATAGATAAATATCTTTCTTTCATGTTTTTCTTCTTTTTTTATTTATTTATTTATTTATTTTAGTTTCCAGCTCATTGTTCTTTTCTCATTTGTATTCTGATGACATTGAACATATTGTTAATACATTTTGTACATTGTATACAAGTTGTATGTCATAAAAAATGTAATCTCTGTATGTTTTGCACAAACAAATAAATAAATAAACAAATAAATAAAGTATAATTTTAAGCTGTAAGCACCAGCACGCATAGATTTATGGATATCTATGCCAGCCGATGCCAGCACGTCCCAGCCGGGTTCGTCACTTATTTGGTTCCCCTGGAAACATTTCCGTTGTGCTCTGTGTTATTTGCAGCGCGTTTATGAATTTGGTGGTGTTGTGAGTATTTGGAGCACAGGTGTGTTGTGAAACTGATGAAGATGTTTTCTTAATTTGCAGGTGTTTTTTTTATTTGCACGCGTTTTTTCTATTTGCATGCGTTTTTTTCTATTTGCATGCGTTTTATTTTATTGGCATGTGTTTTTTTTCTATTTGCACGCGTTGTTTTCTATTTGCATGTGTTTTCTTCTATTTGCATGCGTTTTCTTCAGTTGCAGCGCGTTGAGCTCTCTCGGCCACCGTAGTTGAACGGAAGAAACTGATTAGTCTGGTTCGTGAATGAATCGTTCAGACCGTTTTGAGAATCAGTTTGGTGATTGATTCATTGAACAGATCTGATTCAAATTAATACATTAATAAACACCTGTGCTATCAATTGTACCCTAAAAGGAAAGTATACTGTACAACCCATGTGTTTTCTGTATCTTTAGGTGGTTTTTTGGAAAGATGAGCCGTTTTGAAGCATTGAGTCACCTCATGTTTGCAGGAAATAATAATGGATCCTTCCTTGTACGAATCAGTGAGACTGACAGCACAGGCTTTGTGATCTCAGGTGTGTGTTGTTTTCTGACAGTCATTAGTGAGTTTGTTACCGCATATCCTTAAAGCTGCTATTGGAGTTTGTTCTAAGTTCTGAATCTGCTCTCCTAGTGAAGACACAGGACAAAGCAAAACACTTCAAGATCTACCAGTCTGGTGGAAAGTTCTATGTGGATCCATCTCCTACATTCGCCAGTGTATTAGAGGTGGTTGAATATTATCAAACTCACCCATTCTCCACTTCAGACCAACTGAAGCGACCCTGTATTCGGGTGAGACTCTCTTTCTCTTCCCATTTTCCCCCATTCTCCTCTTATGCTTGTTTTTTGATCTCCCTTATTCTCACATTCTCTTTCAGTTTTGTCATATGAGGAAGTGATTGAAAAAGTTTCTTCATTTTTATGAGAACACCACCATTTGCATTAGATACAGTAAATATTTGCAACATCAAGAAACTCATTTTTCAGTCCTCCAGTAAACACATGCTGATGTATAAATGTAAAGCATCCAACCCAGTAAATATGGGATGTGTAGCCTATATACAGTAGCAGTAATAAAATTAATTGCATTTGTAAACTTACTTCCTGACACCAATGACTCATCTTCCTGTAGAAAAAGCCCCGGCCTGAGAATCTGCCACCCTCCACAGTCGATGAATGGGAAGTCCCTAAAGAACAACTTAACTTAGTGAAGCTGCTGGGCAGTGGCCACTTTGCTGAAGTTTACAGCGGCACGTGGAAGAATCACACTAAAGTGGCCATCAAAATCCTCAAGAACAATGGTGAGCTCATAGCTAGAGGTGATACAGAGCAGAGCTGAAAATAAGAATGTAAATGTTGCACGGCAAAATAATATATAAGGGGCCATGACACACCAATCCCACGGTCGGCAATCGACCAACGTCCGGCTAGTTTTTGCGGTGTGTTCCACATGTCAGCTGTTTTCAGCTGGAGTTCAGCATATTGAATTGTCATCGGTGAGAGATCATCGGCTGGTCAGTTTAGCGGGCGAGTCAGTGCACAAAAAAAAGCTAAAGTGATAAAAGCAGTGAGCATTCCAAATACAAGAATATGTTCATAACAACATGAGCCGCCTGGAATGAAGAAAGTGATCAGCGTGATTGGTATTCAAAATGGTTTTTGAATGATGAACATAGACTATTGATACCTGCTGATATAGACAGTTTATTTCCCTACATGCAGGCGCAAGAACGCACAAGCTGGTTGGCAGCCAGTTGTAGTCCTTTAAGTGTGTTCAAGTGCAGCTCTTCGGCCCAGCCGCAGCCAACGCGAGGCGACAACATAGTCAGCTTTCGTCTCCGCTAGTCCTTTGACATCTGCTTGGTGTGTCACAGACCTTTACAAATGCAACTTACAAGTCTTCTAGTTTCAACTCTGCCTGTTATTTTTATCCAAAAGAAATTCTGGCTGTTTTTAAATGTGAAAAGAATTCAGTTTTGTTACCTGAAAGTCTGAAGCTTTAAATGAAGAAATTACACAAACTGCAACCCTCATCTTAATCTTTTTTGTTTAAAGATAAAAACATTTTCACATCGATATTACAATCTTTGATTCAGAATGGGCAGTGTTTGTTGGAAAAATGCTGAATATGACCTTTTCATAGCTTTAAACACAAGAGTGTGTATGTATTCATGTACTTGACACTGACAGCACAAGTTAATGCAGTGGATCAAAAGAGGTTTTTGAGTGCCTTAGAATAAGATACACGTCTGGAATTAAACACTAATTAAACATAAACACATTCATAAATCTATATCAGGAAATAGAATAAACTCAAACCAGTGTTTGAACCACCTTTATCCGAGTAAAAACATTTCAAAGGTAAAGATACACAATACTCCAGACAGAACCGCAGGATCTGCTGGGAAATCTTGCTTTTGCCAGTTATAGTGTTCCGGAATTGAAGGATGACATGGATAGGCAATTTTTGGATGTAAATGGGTAATGTGACATTGGGCAAAAATCAACTGCATAATTCAAACAAAATAAATGTATCCTTATGAAGGCAACCACCTGCTTTGCAGCCTTAGGGCATGAATACCTTACAGCCAACGGTTTTAGATTGTTCATTGCACACATTACTGGTGAGGTTAATGTGAGCTAAGGCTGAACACAATGTAAGTCATACAGAATGGCAGTGATCCTCAACATTACACTGGTAAATCTGCAACTGAATACCTCGAACAGAAAAAGAAATAATGTGGAATAAATGTTGTATATACGTTGCAATACACTTTTGTCTTGTTAAATAAAATCTAAATCTAAACCTCAAAACAAGATAAATATGCTTTATGTAATGACTTCCTTCTTACACCATTGTTAAATAATTGTTCTTGTTTTAAGCATAAATCTTAACTAAATTTAATGAATATGTTTAAAACAAGAAATAAAAAAATACAAGAACATTTTCTGAAGGAGTTTGGAAAAATTAAAGGTACATCATCATGAAAAGTCTCAATATCTTATCCAATGAGGTTAATGTATCTTGTTTTAAGCATTTTTATATATTTTAGGTGAAATTGCTGATTTTCTAATAAAAACTAAATATATTTTTTATAAATAAAAAATAAATAAACATATTTGTGATAAATAAACATCATAAAAAATAATATTTGTGTCTATTTCTTTTTCTTTCTTTTCTTTTTTTTACCACAGATGCTCTGAATCAGAAGGACTTTCAGTTGGAGGTACAGATCATGAAGCGTCTGCGTCATAGGCACCTGATTTCTCTCTTTGCCGTCTGCTCTTCCTCTGCCCCGTTTTACATCATCACCGAACTAATAGAGAAGGGCGATCTGCTTAATTTCCTCAGAAGTCAGTCACTGTCCCTAGATAAGACTGATTGATGTCTTGCTGTGATTATGCTGTCTCACGTTCTCAATCTTATACATCACTCCCCATCATTCAGGTCAAGATGATATGGCATTGAACATGGAGTCTCTGATCGACATGGCAGCTCAAGTAGCAGATGGGATGGTATATTTAGAGGCACATAACAGTATTCATAGAGACCTTGCTGCAAGAAATGTCCTAGTCGGAGAGGGAAACGTCTGCAAAATTGGTGATTTTGGCCTAGCTCGAGTCATTAAGGTGAGCAAACTGATTTTTATGCTGATTTTTTTGAGGGGGGGGAGGGGCTTCACAATTAGGATCTTAAGTGATTGATATATAATGTGTGTGTGTGTGTGAATGAGATACTGTATATGTGATAGGAGAAAAGTAATCAAAAAGTATTCAGATTATATTACAATGAATGTACAGTATAATGTAATAGATTACGTTACTATTACACACTACATATGTGTGTGTGTGTGTATATATATATATATATAAACATGCATACCAACATGCAAACAAAAGCAAGTACCGGCACCTTATTTTGTCAACTTCAAGTACTGCATCCTGGAAATTACTCTTGAAATTGTTTATAGGGACATTTGCTTCCTGCTTTGTTGAAATATCAGTAGGGAACATGGTTTTGTGAATTAATATTTCTTTGGTATATATTATGAAACAGAACAATCAAATTTAACCAATCCCATGCAAGTGTATCATCCGGTCATTTGATTTCCAATTTGAAATGAAATAAGCAGAAATGAGAAAACTGCACCTTTGTTCGTTTTTTCAACAAAAAAAAAACCCGAAAAAAGAGATTTCGGCTTGATTTTTCGTTTTTTAGTTCACAGGCAAAAAAAAAACGAATATATGACTTCAAAATTCGTTTTCCACATGTGGGCGGTCATGAGACGCCCCCTTCCGCTGATTGGTCAAGTAAATCTGAGCATGTGACGTCATCAGTCGTTGCTCAGGTCTGTTCAACAAAATAATAGTCATCAACAGTAATCTACCCATTAAGGATGTAATTTGTCTTTTTGAAAACCCAAACAAATCTTTAGAATCTACTGGTAACTTCCTTATCCTTGTGGCAAACTTTTACTTTCACAAACAAAGGTTTCTTAAGAAAATTCCTTCATTTAAAAATTTCTTATGTGAAGTAAAATATTTAATCAAATCACTAAGAATAATTGATAATAGAAAATGTACTTCTTTTTTGAAGAAATATAGAGATAGTTTATGTACCATGATTAAAATCTGTTTGCTGTTTCTTTTTTCCCCCTTTTTTTTCTTCTTTTCCAAAAATTTTCTAAAATTCAGTTGGCCCAACTCATTTTAAATTGGTCAAAATTAAGTTGATCCAACTCAATTAAATTAAGTTGGCCCAACCCAATTTAAATTTTCAAAAAATAAGTTGGCCCAACTCAATAATTAATATTTAGAATAAAAAATGACCAAAATTGAGTTAGCCCAACTCAATTTAAATTGTTCAAAATTAAGTTGGCCCAACTCAATAATTAACGTTTAGAATTAAAATTTTCCAAAATTGAGTTGGCCCAACTCAATAATTAATATTTAGAATTAAAATTTTCTAAAATTAAGTTGGCCCAACTCAATACTTAATATTTAGAATTAAAATTTTCCAAAATTTAGTTGGCCCAACTCAATTTAAATTTTCTAAAATTAAGTTGGCCCAACTCAATAATTAATATTTAGAATTTAAATTTTCTAAAATTCAGTTGGCCCAACTCAATTTAAATTGGTCAAAATTAAGTCGGCCCAACTCAATTAAATTAAGTTGGCCCAACTCAATAATTAATATTTAGAATTAAAAACGACCAAAATTGAGTTAGCCCAACTCAATAATGAATATTTAGAATTAAATTTTTCCAAAAATTTAGTTAGCCCAACTCAATTAAATTAAGTTGACCCAACTCAATAATTAATATTTAGAATAAAAATGTTTCCAAAATTGAGTTGGCCCAACTCAATAATTAATATTTAGAATAAAATGTTTCCAAAATTGAGTTAGCCCAACTCAATTTAAATTGTTCAAAATGTCAAACATCTATGTCTACATAGTCTAACATCAAAATGTTAATGTCTTCTGTAGATTTTGATCTTTATAAGTTGTTATGATAGGCCTATATTTTTAATGAAAACACAATTTAAAAAAACAACTTTTTATTACCAAATATACTATTAATAAGACGCGTGACACAAAATATCCATATTATACCAAAAAAATAAAATATATTTGGAAATTGCCCTTTAAAACGAAGGCTCAGTTTGTGGTCAACCGTTCACTATTATTTTATTGAAAACAATAAAACAAAGACAAAGTCACTTATATTAAACACTTTTTCTTTTTTTTGTTAACAGAAGTTATCTCGCCCCTTTAATTGCCTCCGCTATCATCCAATCATCTGTCTCATTCTTGCGGGTCGCGGCTATGATTACAGTTTCAGTAAAATTTTATTTCACCGTCATCGGTACCCACCCTCAGCCGATTGGCATAATTACAGTATTTGCAATGACCATCCCGTGTCCAAAATGGAGCTTATACTGTCTAAAAGAAAAGTTGTGACTGCTGACTGATCTGTGCCTCACCCGCTCGGCGCTGTCTAGCACAGCACCACACAGATTTAACTGCGCACAGCTAAATAAAACAGGCTGGTGGCAGACTAATATTTAATATTTCTGATGTAAATATTTCTGTGAAACGCGTTAAGTTGCACAGAAGAAAGCCCAATCTAGGACCTGCCCTGTACAGTTTAAGAAGCGGTAGTAGAAGACTATTATTATTATTTATTTATTTTTATTAAAAAAAATTACAATAGTGCAAACACACATCTTTTAGAAATCTAAAACATTTCCAACAATGTATATATTTAACAAGTAAACTCATTCGTGCACAATCATAGCACAAAAATGGAAAGAGCTAAACAAAGAAGAAAAAAAGGGGGGGGGGGGGAAGAAACAGCAAACAGATATTAATCATGGTACATAAACTATCTCTATATTTCTTCAAAAAAGAACTACATTTTCTATTATCAATTATTCTTAGTGATTTGATTAAATATTTTACTTCACATCTTTAAAAGTAGGAATTTTCTTAAGAAACCTTTGTTTGTGAAAGTAAAAGTTTGCCACAAGGATAAGGAAGTTACCAGTAGATTCTAAAGATTTGTTTGGGTTTTCAAAAAAACAAATTACATCCAGAGAATGTCTAATTGAAGAGAATTGGCACTGTTTGGTTACTTCCGGTTTCTGGACTGGCTGCAGTAACACGTCTCTGTCCATGCGGGGGCACTCGTTGGCGAGTGCAGAATGAATGGGAGTCTATGGGGTTTCACCAAGGGGGTAATCCACCAGCCGGAAACTGAAGTCTCCCCGGGGGCCGCCATTGGTTAGCAAGCCTTCACCTGCTGTTAGCATTCCATTGACTCCCATTCATTTTGGCGTCACTTTGACAGCGAATAACTTTACATCTGAGGCGTTTAAAGACTCCATTTGTCCATTGTTTATTTCTAAAGAAACACGACAATGTATAAAAGGCTCCATTACCTTGTATCTTACGTTATGGCCCCGTAGAAGCAGTTTTTTCAAAAATAGGCTAACGATTGCGTCATAACACGCGACTCTCTGTCGCACAGTAGAGAAATGACCTTATAGACAGAAGTAGAAGCTTGCGCGCAATCGGGGGGACGTGGAGGCATAAAGTCAAGGGAGAAGCCCATAGAGAGTTGTAAAGTTGCTCCTGCTGCGAGCTCATGGACAGCTCCTACTCACGCTCTCAGTCTCTGCAAGATTCGGAAGGGAATGATTCAGATTTCTCTTGGCACAGCTACTAGAAGACGTACAACTGTGAGACAGGTTGCTCACGTCACATCTGCGTCGTCAAGCTCAGTTTGAGCCTGCGCAGTACGCTCAGCCATCAGGAAGTGAGTGCTTCTAATTGACTTCACTTTTCTCCGTTGAAGTCTATGGGGTCGCTGTGTCCATTTCTTTTTCTGTCTATGGGTTTCACCCCCAGAAATCCACTTTTCTCAGGATGTAATTTTTTGTCAAGTAATTTGAAAGTTGCATTCAAAAGGGAGGTGTAAGATAATACACTCAGCTGAAAATTGCATTTTTAAGTTCACTTATCTGTTCTAAAAATCCGTTCAAAAATGTGATGATGTCACATAATAGCAGAATGCTAGCTTGTTCCGGCCAACAACGGCCTAACCTGTAAGAAATTGAAAGGACTTAAGTACTCCTTCATTCAACTTTTGGCCTATAATCTATATTGAACTTGCGGAATCAACAATAAAATCTATGTTGATTCAACGACAAGCAGGAGAAAGAGATACATTTAGCCGTCTAGCTCCATAGACTCCCATTCATTCTGCACTCGCCCGCGATCACCTCCAGTGGAATTCTAATGGAACTGCAACCAATATGATACACAATGGGGCTAATAGGAAGTGCCAAGGCTCTCCGTTAGACAGGCTCTGTTAGATCCTTAATGGGTAGATTACCGTTGAGGACTATTATTTTGTTGAACAGACCTGAGCGACGACTGATGACGTCACATGCTCAGATTTACTTGACTAATCAGCGGAAGGGGGCGTCTCATGACCGCCCACATGTGGAAAACGAATTAATAATAATAATAAATAATATGTTTATTTTATATAGCGCCTTTCAGAGTACTCAAGGTCGCTTTACAATAAAGTACAAATAAACCTGACAGAAACATGACATAGAACAAAAAATAAATTGAGATCGTGGTACCTAAACATAGAAATCAAGGGAAACAAATAGCAAAAAGATAAGATAAACGTTTTTAGGTGAGTTTTGAAATCGTGTAATGATGAAAGGTCGCGGATGTGTTGGGGAATAGAAATCCAGAGAGTTGGGGCAGCAGTACAAAAAGCCCTTCCACCAAATGATGATAGTTTGTGCCTTGGGATCGAATTGATTCTTACTTGGACTGGTTGTTAAAGATCCCTAACTTTCAGCACAACAATTGAATGGGGATGTCATCTTGGGTGGGGTGAACTTTGGCACAGAACTCACGGTGCCACCAGTGCGACACATCTTCAGTTGTGTGCCCGACCTCATTGGGTTTCGGCCACTTATCACAAGACACCCTCCGCCGGGGTTGGCCCACCACGGGTTGATCAGACCCGGGTGTGTGTCGCACGGTGGTGGCGCCATGCGATCATTTGGCAGCCCATGTTGCGTGACTTGCGTCCCTACGTTTCAGCCACAGCCAGTGACTGCTCCGTTCCGCTGCAGTGGCAAGTTCTTTGATTGCCCTCTGTAGGGACTGCCCTCTGATCCCTACTTCCTTCAAGAGCCTTGCGGTAGAGCTGGCCACAAAACCCCTGCATCCCACCTCCACTGGCCACACCTTCACATTCCAGCCCCGCCCCTCTGCTTTAGCTGCTAAGTTGGCATATCGCAGCCTCTTCCGTTCGAATGCCTCATCAATGGCATCCTCCCATAGGACAGTCATTTCAACAATGAAGACACACCGGCAGGACTTGGACCAGAGGACAAGGTCTAGGCGCAGGTTGGTTGCTGCAATTTCGGGTGGGAAGTTGAGCCTCTGGTTAAGGTCTACTCGCATTTCCCAATCCCGGGCTGCGTTCAGTGGGCCAGAGTTTGGGAGTGATGGCTTAGACCCCTGTTTCTCTCCTTCCCGCATGAAGGTTGTTCTCCGTGGGATGGTAGTCTGGGCATTTAGAGGCGTGGCGTTGGTGATTACCCTCTTGTTCTCAAGTTCGGCAGCCAAGCACCTCAGCACTTGGTTGTGGCGCCAGGTGTACCTTCCTTGAGTTAGGCTGGTCTTGCATTCCACCAGGATGTGTTTAAGGGTTGCTGGGGCTGCACACAGGGGACAGGCTGGGTCCTCTCCATACCAGATATGTAGGTTGGTTGGGGAGGGCAGGACATCGTAAGTAGCTCTGATGATGAAACTTAGCCTATTAGCCTCCATGCCCCACATCTCACTCCATGTGATTTTTCTCCTCTCCACGCCATCCCACTTCATCCAGCGGCCTTGCTGGGCTTGGGAGACAGCCTTGGCACACCTGGCTGCTTCCTCTTGGTGGCGCACCTCCTCCACCACCATGTGCCGCCGTTCGGTTAGAGTAGCCTTTTGCCATGTGGGTGTTACTGCTTCCAATCCAAGGCCCCCTCTGCCATTTTGGACATGCCCCACTATATCTCGGTGTCTGAGGGCAGCCTTTGCCGCCGCAACCGCAACCGCTGCCACCGGCTTCCATTTCCTCCCCGTTGCTAGGGTAGGAGCAGCACCTCTGATGACTGGATCCCGGGATTTTGTCAGAGTCATTTCCAGCCTTGATTTGGCACATTTGTACTCCTCCACCAGGCTTGAGATTGGCAGGGAGAGGGCTCCGTTGCCATACAGGCCGATGCTGGTAAGGCATCTCGGCAGTCCAAGCCACTTCCTCACTTGTGCATTCACTAATCTCTCCAGTCGAATGGCATGGGATAGTGTGACCTCATAGATAGAAATTGGCCACATGAGACGGGTCAGCAGCCCAAACTGAAAGCACCACAGCTTCAGCTTCAGAGCAGTGTTGTTGATCTTCTTGAGGCCGCTGATTGTATCCTGCCTGAGTTGCTCCACCTGCTTCGAGTCTTTGAGTTCTGCGCTATACTAGCGGCCGAGGCTTTTGATGGGCTTCTCCAGAACTGTTGGTATTGGCTCGTTGTTGACCTGGAACCTCTCATTGGTAATTTTTTCAATGTTTTTTTGAAAAAATTAAAACACGAATAAAGGTGCCGTTTTCTCATTTCTGCTTATTTCATTTCAAAGTGGAAATCAAATGATTTGATAATACACTGACCCAAGAGCGATTTTACAATCATTTTTAAGTGCTCTTCAGCGCATGCATTTGTTCTATGAAGTTGTCTTTTAACATGTCTAGGAGCCTGTTTATATATCTGATGACAAGAAAATACCATATAAATGGACCGCACCTGAGGCTATCAGTCATGGCCGTTACTCAACTAAATCTGATGTCTGGTCATTTGGGATTCTCCTTTATGAGATTGTCACACATGGAGCCATCCCTTACCCAGGTCAGTTTTAACATGCTAATTGTGGTATCATGTTTTCGTTTTTTTTTTAGTTTAAGACAGAATATTTATAATTTATATTTATAGTTTTTTTTGTAGATTTTGAGCTAGGCCCTATATGGCTTTTCATAATGTTTTGTCAGACTAGTGAAATGAAAGCCTACAAATAGACTTTTAAGTGTTTATTTTATTGCACTTTATCTATTTGCATATGTAGATTTAAGTTACAATACAAATAAAGGGGCGTTTTCTTCATTTGTATTGCGAGTTTTTTCGCATGCGCTGAGGAAGAAAGCCAGAAGCTGAGTCATTTTATTCCTAAAAAGATGGAAAAAAATTCCTCCTGGCTGTTGACAATATTTTCTGATTTATGGAGTGATAAAAAAAAATCCCTTCTGTATAAACCTTAAGAAGTCAACAAGAATTCAGATTTCTGTTCTAGAAAAATTTGTGAATATTTAATTAGATAATGCCTCATTTGCATATTCAAACATAACATTGAAAATGTATGTACGGTATACTGTCCTTGTCCAGAAAGGAAATAGAGACATCATCAAAGTAGTCCATGTGACATCAGTGGGTTAGTTAGAATGTTTTGATGCATTGAAAATACATTTTGGTCCAAAAATAACAAAAACTACGACTTTATTCAGCATTGTATTGTCTTCCGGTTCTGTTGTCAAGCGCGTTCACGAGTCCGCAGTGACGCTGATGACGTAAGACGCTGCTGACGTGTATATCTGGTGTGTCCGTGTATTCGGGATCAAATAAATATGGCTGGGCAAAATAATGCAAGTCTTCCTCTGTGTCGAAATCCTTAGACATTTTTGCGAAGATTGTTTTGTTTACAGCGTGCGTCTCCCTCAGACTGTAAACGAAGCTCGGGCGCACTGATAACACGTCAGCAGCGTCTTACGTCAGCAGCGTCATTGAACACGGATTGACAACAGAACCGGAAGACAATACAATCATTTTTGGGTGAACTAACCCTGTAACATTTGAGTCTGTATATTCAAGCCATTATCTTCTTTTATAGGTGTTCACAATGCTGAGGTGTATGATCTCGTCACAAGACAACACTATAGAATGCCTTCACCAGCCAATTGTCCACAGATCATTTATAACATCATGCGATCTTGCTGGAGAGCAGAACCAGAGGACCGTCCCACTTTTGAGAATCTGAAGCATGAACTAAACAACTATCAAGACAGCGTCTGTAGTTATTCGGGTAAACTGCACAGTTAGGTTCCACTCCTTGCAAACATCCTGAGGCCTTAAAGTCTTAGAAACAATTGCAACAGACAGATGCAACGTAAAATCATCTTTGAATTATCCTTGATGGATTAGATGGACTGTTGATTAGTCCAACCAATCAGTTTTCAGATAATGAGGAAGATGTGCACATGAAGCACTTTTTGGGAGCACTAAGGGCAAATAATAATGTATTTGTGTTTAGACTTATAGCAGTAATTACTGACTGAGTTTAATGAGACAGATGCTGTATTTTTTTTTTTATAATAATAATAAACCTTGTTGTTCTCAGGTAGAGTAGACTGAACTGATTAAAAGAGCATGAAACCATTTTAAATTTGTAATCAACAATCTGTTCAGGGCATTAAAATACAAGTTAAAATGACTAAACTATTATTTTTTTATGTATTGAATGTATGTATGTAATCTTGTTTTTTATGTTTTTTTCCTCTTCTCAAGCCTTTAATGCAAATGAGAAAAGCAATAGAGAGGTAAATTCCATCATACAAGTGGAATTATGAGATTAAATATGAAGCTATGAATGTCAAGGTGCTTTGTGTCAAGTGTACAAAATGCTATAAAACAACAAATAAGACACTTTATGTTGATTTGAACACTTTAAATTGTGCTGTACTGTCGTAATATACTTTATTGTATTTTATAATGTATTGCATTGTTAATGTTTATTGCAGTTCAAAACAAATTCATCATGGCAAGCTTACATTGCTGATAAACTCCAAAGAAAAAAGCACAGACACACAAATATGTTAGAGCTTATTTGTTTAAAAAAAATATAAATTACCTCATGATAGGCACAATCCTGGTGTGTGTGTCTCAATTGAGATGAATTGCGTAAGAAAACAGTAATGATGGGGTAGGATTGCGATCATATCATGCAAAATCTGCAAATTCAAAGTTCTATTAGATTACCATTTTGATTTGTTTTGGCAGATGTAATACTCTATATTGATGCAGCAGGTTAAAACTAGCGATGCTTCAAGTTCTCACAATAGGTAAACCAATGATTTAGGCCTGTGCAATATGAAAATTCACCAGAAGATGGCGACACACCATTATTTCACTGATGAGCTATAGCTTGCAACCAAGAAGTCTGTATTTTAATTTAATGGCATGTCATCATAGTGCAGCTGTCATAAAGCGTGAAACTGCAAATAAATAAATAAAGTAATTATTTATGACCATGTTCAATCATGTCCTTGGCCTATCCATAAGCACTGCGACCTTCATGCTTTCACTACAACAACAAACACGATAAAGGCAAGGCTCTGACACTGTTATGTGTTTGAACTACTGACAAGAGCTCCTGATGTATGGGATCGTGTTCGTCTTTGTCATTATCATCATCAGTGTCATTCCTGTTATTGCTTTTACGAAGCACATTTTCAGCATTTCTTAATATAGGCTACCCAATTGTTTAAATATTATATTGTTTTTTTCAATCACAGTATCTATCACAATGAGGTGGAAATGGGGTGAACTTTAAATATTTTCACTTCTTTGGTTTTCCAGGATAGTTCCATTTTTTGGTGACAGCCTACGCCATAGTTTAGTTTAGTTTAGTTTAGTTTATTTAAGAGTTTGACAAGGCAGGATATTGAAGGACAAAACCCTGAAATGTATCAAACAGAACACATACTCAAGACAACCGTATATACCTAATTAAAAAGTAAAAAAAATAGAAGAAACAAACAGGAGGGGTAAAACAGATGCATACAAAAACCTGAAATACATCAGGCTTCATACAAGCAGAACCTGCAAGTTATTTATAAAACAGTTTAAGAGCACGTGGAATAAAAGAAAGTTCATGTCTTTTTGATTTACTCCTGGGCACAATAAGTTCTCTACGCTGCCGTAGTAGGTAAGTAGGTGTTGGAGCCACAGACAGGAAACAATGCAGTGGTGATGAACTGTCCTTGAGTAGTTTTGTAAAAGTACGTATAGTGGCCTCGTCACGCCTCTCACTCAGTGATGGAGGGAGAGAAGAAGTTGGAACACCTATTATCCGACAGCAACGTTTTTGGACCCTTTCTAACTCATCAGAGAGACCTTTTGGTAGTCCACCCCATACTGGACTAGCGTACTCAAGAACTGGCCGTATAAATGTCAAATATATTTTCACTAAAACATCACATGGGAGACCCGCGTTTTTAGCAACACAGAGATAGTGGATTCTAGGACGCACCTTCGAAATCATGTACTTAATGTGTGCGCCCCACGACAGATCAGTAGAAATTTGAACTCCAAGTAGTTTAAAGGTGGAAACTCTGCTAATTAGATGTCCTGATATTACAGGAGAGGAAGGGCAGGGAATATTTTTGTCTTTCCTGCGCTAATGACCATGTCCACTGTCTTACCTCCATTCATTGCCAATGAAAATTCATGTCCCCATTCCGCCACTGAATCCAAGGCCTTCTGTGTTAACCCTGGTAAGGATCCCATTAAAAGTTCAGTGATTGTTAAATCATCGGCATATTTCACCGGAATTACTGAAGGAGGCAGGCGGGAATCCAAGCTGTTTATTGAGATTACAAAAAGCAGAGGGGATAGAAGTCCCCCCTGGGGAACACCAGCTGAAATTGGGTAGGAGTTAGACACACAGGAGCCCCACTTCACCTTTTGCCCTCTGTTACTCAGATAGCTCCTTACGCTGAGCCAAAGTGGACGTCTGACATTCATCTCAGCTAAAGCATAAAGCAGTTGACAATGATCAACTGTGTCAAAAGCTCGAGTAAAATCAACAAAACCAGCATGAATGTCCAATTTAGGATTGCTATTGAGTGCTTCATGCCAGTGTTGCAGAATATGAATCAGTGGAGTGTCAGTGGATCTGTTTGCCATGAAACCATGTTGTGATGGTTCAATTTTAGCAACTGTATCCTCCAGAATGGCATCTCTGAGGATTCCTTCATACACTTTTCCAACACAGCTGAGTAGTGAAATCTGCCTATAATCTGTTGGAAAACTGGGCTTTGTTTTTTTGGGAACAGCCTTGACCATAGCCTCCTTCCATTGTTTTGGAAAAATATTATTTTGCAAGCACATGTTAAAGATATCACATAGTACCGGTGCCAGCTCCTCATAAAAGGTCTTTAACATCCAAGGAGGGATGCCGTCAGGACCAGCAGCCTTTGCTGCCTTCACTTTGCAAAGTCTAACCTTAACTTGTCCAATACTCAGAAGAGGTATACTACAATTGGATAACTTGCAGGTAACCTCTTCCTCAGATGGTGAAATGTGACTTGCATGATCCCACACAGAAGCAAAGTGCTTTGCCAAGTTGTCACACTCATATTGCATGATGTTATGATCCTGAGACACCATGTCACTCTTATCTCCTTCCATCCCCATTAATGCCTTCACAGACTTAAACCATTGTTTAGGCTTAGTGCTTTGCAGTTCCTCGACCTCATGTATATAGTATTGTTTCTTTGCATTCTTGATTTTTTGGGCTATAATTGTTTTTAGTTTACTGTAAGTTGTTTTGTTCCCAGAACAGAAAGCAAGCTGTCTGTCTTTTATCAGATCCTTAATTTGTATGGTCATCCAGGGTTTATCATTATTTGTGATTGAGACTTTCTTAAATGGAATTGTTTTATCCAAGATAGACCTGATCGTAGAAGTGAAGGCACTAACCTTAGCCTCAGGGTCCGTAGCCTCAAGAATGTGAGAAAAGTCAGTAATATTCATGAGAAGGCTTAATTGCCTATTTGTTTCAGGGGTACGCTTTCTACAAATAATTTGCTTAATAGGTTTGGTAGGCCAATTTCCAGCATTTAATAGAATAGTCTCATGGTCAGAGGAGCCAACAGGAGGCAAATGCTCTGGTGACTCATACATGCAGGAAATGTTAGTGAAGATTGAGTCTAATTGACTGGTCTTTCTTGTTGCTCCAGCCACTATCTGTTTCAGACCATGTCTGCTGCAGATGGTTTCAGACTTGTATTTATTTGTATCACCAAGAATGGCAATTGCGGCCTGCTGGTAGTTGCATTCAATATTTCTAAGGCAGCGATCCAAGTACTGGGTGATTATTAAGTCAGGTTGGGCCGTTGCTGAAGAATGTGGGGGAAGGTACAGCACAGCAGCAATAATACAACTTAACCCTCGAGGAAGACGACTGGGACGTAGCCAGACCCACAATGCCTCAAGTTTGTCTTCTTCTAGGTGAGTCAGTCGAGTCTGAGTGATGTTTTCATCGACATACAAAGCGACTCCTCCTCCCCCACTGCCCTCACGATCCCGTCGATGCATTGTATATCCAGGTAGAGTTACATTTGAGTCTGGGATATCAGCATTTAACCAGGTCTCTGATACAGCAATAACTGCTGAGTTATTATTCACAGCTATACTGTACAGCTCATCGCACTTGTAGCGTAAGGAGCGCACATTGGAAAGTAGAAAACCAGGCATGATTGGCTTTGATTTATGTTGGTTTGTCTTAATATAAATCAGGTTCTTAGGATGGTAGCAACAGTCATAAGTAAGCAGGCTTAGCTCAGTCAGCTTATTCTTAACATCCACTGTAGTCCCACAGAACGAAGGACGATTTCCAACAATTGTACATATTGAGCGACTGTAATTTTTTCCAGCTTTCTTACCCCTTGGGCGAGATCTAAGTCGTAGAATCCCATTGATTTTGCTGCAGGGTGGTTTTAACTTCAGGAGCCAAAGGGGATGCAAATCTTTTCAGACTTATTATAAGATGTAAATGATTCTTAAATCCGAGTTGTGTCATTATTGACTTGGGGAAAGACAGAGACATTTACTTGAATGGTTGCAGTGGAAATTTTCATCCATCCAGCTGTAGACGAGTAGGCCGCATTTTCCTTGAATCCATCAAATATCTTCTAGCAGTAATTCCATCCATAAGTCCTGACTTCCAGTTTAGGAATAAAATCACAGCAATGACAATGAGTGATCGGTTTGTGCATTTCCAGACTATATTAAATAAACATTGTTTAAAAAGCTAAAAAAGGTAGGTTGCTGAGCAGCTCAA